ATTAGTTTGGGGCATTTCCACAGGAAGACACATCTGGTCCCTGACTTTGGACCAGATGCTGCTTTTGAGCTGCGTGTGGGCAGCAGCTCACTTTCAGTGCATGTCAAGCACGTTTGTTTCACCTGCATGCATACGTACACACACACACACCAGCTTGCTCTTTCAGCTCAAACACTCACAGATCCTATACTGTCCTGCTGGCTAAGTGTTCTGCCGTCACACCATGGCCCTCTCTCAACCTGATCCTCTTTATCCCTCCTGGCCTGGCAGCCTGGATCCTGTCTGCTCTTATCCGGCTCCTCCGCAGATAAGCCAGGATGGCCATCTGAGCTCTAAATGCAGCCTATAGTGATTACTTAGTCTCCAGGCGGCCACTGGAGAGGAGCCACACACATTAACACTATAGTCAATCAACACAGTGAAGAGTTTGCACTACTGGCTTTTTTCCAGCCACATTTTTTTCTCTACAAAACTACAACAGAAAAATGTCAAGTTCTGTGAGTAATAATCATCCAGTAACACTGAATCAGGGCCAGTGCAACCAGTGAAGTGCTGTTTTCACTGTAATTACTTTTTAGCAAAGATAATACTGTATTTTACACTTATTGTTTATGTATATTGTACACTTCAGCAATTATCCATGAAAGACAAGTCACTCTCAAAATGTTATTCCATGTTGTGTTCAGGTTTGTGTGCAGTGCCTGTCAGCTAGCCATCATATCTTTTCTAACTCACCTGACTCTCATCATCCAGGGTAACTTTGCCAACATACCTCTTTATCTTTAGGCCCTCAAGCAGGGCACACCACAGCTTATCAACACAGCAGCACACCTCGGTGCCCCTGTGCTGAGGTGTGCCTACTTGCATTATACGCTTGCTGCATGTTCTCACTTTCTGGCTTACCCTCTCTTTGCCACCTCTCGTTCCTCTGGTTGAAAATATACTTCACTTACCCGTTTTACTTTTTTAATTACTTACAGGGTTGCCATGTTTGACCACCTCCCTTATAACCCACATCTGTCTTCTCTTAATGGAGATATTTTCCTTTCTAAATCTGACATCTTGCTGTGTTCGGAGGGCTAAGGACAAAGCATTTTAAACAAATGAAAGGAGACAGTGCACTGAAAGATCAAATATCTTTTGCAGGAGGATTAAACCATATTTTTCACACTGGTACAAATCATCATTATGAGCCTTTATTGTCTTCTTTTGTTGCTCAATATTTCTGTTTGGCATTGTGTTGTTAATGTGCTCACTTGTGCTGAACTTTTGCAGCCCTCTTGACAGTAAAGACAGTGGTTGCCATCGAAGCCAGTGCCATCAACATGAAGAAAACAGTACAATAAAACACCAGAAAAAGCTCTATTGCTGCCTGAATAAATACAAACTAATAATGTCAAAGCACAGGGTGTTTTAGCCAGTACAGACGCAAGTTTGGCCAGCATCACAAAAATCAGTATTCCCTTGATGATACTATTAAACAACTGCAGTAATACATATCAGTTTTAAGAAAATGGAAAGTCCCTCACATTTGGGTTGTGTGTGCTTTGCCTCCTTTTGGTTCTTTAACATCTGCTTTATCGCTTTCACCACCTACCTCTGTCTCTTTGTATTGATCTGATAAATCTATCGTGTTTGCCCCCTCCTGCCACCCCTCACCAGTCAGACAGACATCACTGTGTTTTCCACTTGTCAGTGCTAATCACCTTTAAAGCACAATTCTTCTTAGGATCGAGACTCCCTGGCTCCACAGCCCTAAGGGGCTAAGTGTGAAAATGTGGTGTGAAAAGACACTCTTCATTTAGTCGGGTATCTTGATGGTTAAAAAGAAGAGATAAGAAGTAATAAAGAACTAAAGGACACCTGGTTTACTACATAAACAATACAGTACAAATACATATCATTTTATAATGCAATAAAATGATGACAATAGATACACCTTATCATTATCCATCCATCATCTACACCCACTTATCTGAGAAGGGTTGACAATGGATTTAAACCTGCTCTGAGGGATGCACCACGTTGCCCATTACTTTTTCACAACACCGGAATGTTATCAAGACTGAGTCAGTAGCTGTGAATAAGACTGTGAAGCTGTACCGAGGTCTTTTCTTATCGCTCTACCTTAGAGTTTCAGAAAAGCAACATCTTCTCAGTGTCAAACTTTGGTGGCTTAGTAAAATAGAAATGAAATACAGTGGGTGCTTTGGTGGAGTAGATGTTAAAGTGCCAGCCATGAACTTCCCTGGTTCAAATGCAGCCGAGGATATTTGTTGAATGTTATTCCCCATCTCTTACTTTCCAAATTGCCTTCACCTCTCTATTTTCAATTTATTAATTAAGACATTAGAAAGACAAAAAGTTGTACGTATTGTCAGTAAGAACAGAGTTTTAATGTACCTGGAGATAAATCATCCTTACCCTTGTGCTGAAAGCCCTGAACAGACTGCTGTCGGTACGTTCAGTGGGATAGGATACGTTGAAATTATGGCCACAGGAGCCAGGAGTAAAACTGAGGTGTTCTGCTGTGTAGATCCAGTGAGTTCCATCGGAGTGATCAGTAGATGGCTCCAGTACATAGGATTTCCCTTCAAGAGATATGAAACCCCTGCAGAAGATAAGATAAGATAAGATAAGTAGCCTTTATTGTCATTGTATTAAAATACAACTAAACTGCAAGTGCCCTTCCCAGCGGTGTTTAAAAATACACATAAATAATCCCCCCACCCCCAATCTTGATTTGGTAGTGTAATAATAGTGGCTACAACTTGAATTTGCTCTTGATGGTGATGTGGCAGGAATTATGCTTAAAGAGCAGCAGCATCTCAGAGATTTTCCACTGATGTGGCTTCCCCAGCCCCCTTTATTAACTTTTCTCATGATTTACCAGTCACCTCCGTGATTTAAAATGACATCTTCATGTACTGAGTCTGGATTCTCACGAACCTTGCACAATATTCGCAACCACATAAAAAACAAAAAAAACGGTGGAGTTTTGTTAAAAAAAAAAAAAAAAAAAAAAAAAAAAAAAAAAAAAAGTTCTGGTCATTACTCAAAGTGCAGAAAGGTTGCATTAATAAAAAAAAAAGATAGATAAATAAATAAATAAATATTGAGACCAAGTCCACAGCAACAGCTTCACAGTCTGACAAATCACTCCACAGACAGCACAGACATTTGGCTGCTTTGTGAAAACATTCTTGATGGTGTCCAGCGATGTTACTGCGATCATTAGTCCTGTCTGACCTTTGCAAACAGTGTTTCCAACACTGAAGCTCTCCATTTGTCTGAAGCCTTACAGTGTGTCATGATCACTGCTTTCAGCAGTATATACAGCATAGGATGTTATCTTAGCTCCCAACGATAGAAACATTCATTATTTACTTTGACATACTACTCTACAAAACTGCTAACTTGAGATATAACACTTGGACTTGAACCAGATTTAAAGTTTATTACAATCTGGTTCTTATTTTTGTAGTTTTTGTCATCATTTTCATTAATTTTGATAGCACTGTGCTCACTTAGAGGCAGTTAACAAGACAGATTATCTAAACCATTTTTGGATGTTAGATCAAAACTGAACACCCAACATTGTTTAATTGCACTGGGAAAACTGTCCACATACAGCGAGGAGGGTAGGTCAAATTCAAGAGCTGTACAGCAATCCTCTGAGATGATAACAACTGACTTGGACTTGACTGCAGTGAATCCTGACCAAACATTCCATGCTCACGTTCACTGGGTAAAATCGTGGACCAAAAAAAAAAGTATTGTGACAGTCCCAGGCAGGACTTGTGTGTCCACATACCATAAATATTTAGAAGAACTTGGTCTCAACTATGTAAAAGCTGCCATTTAATGGTAAACACCCAGAGATATGGTAGACTTACATATTGATTTGTAATTTACTTATAAATGCCTTAATGCTCTAGTCACCACAGCAGTAAGAGCTGCTAGTGAAACAAAGCATTGCTTTGGGCTTTCTGTCTACTTCTGCAGTTTATCACTAAGACACACAGCACAAAGTAATGAAAAAAATGAGTGTGCGGCACACTTACTTAATCCCAGCACAAATACTGAGGCTGACGTCCGAGCTGACATGACCCTCCACCTCACCGTGGTAGTAGCAGTTTTTCTGAGGGAGCATAAACAAAAATACTTAAAATTTTAAATTCAAGACAGGAAGAATGGAACCAGCATGATAAAACCGGTGTTTAGATTTAAGCACCAGTCCCAGCTGATAACTGTGAAACACGAGCAAATTAGCTTGAGGGGAATAGTCTTTTGTAGAAGGAGCCATTCCCACTCATCTTCACAGGCTAACGATGGCTGGAATCTGTGCAAGTTTCACATTTCAAAGCATAATCTTTGCTTGCTACCATATTCCTAGGTGCTCACATTCACGGACCACCTGTCAAGCTGCAGCAGGGAATAAAAAAATGAATTAAGCCTGTGTTTACTGAATCAAGCCTGGCAGCAAGAGGATGGGGAGGAAGCGTCAGGCTTACAGTGAAAACAGCCCTTCTATTACAGTTAGACAGCCTCGCATAGGTGAGGTCTAACCAACCCTCTGCCACCCTGTTCTGGAAAACAAGGAAATGTGAGTTTTATACTCCTCTTTGACTACCTCTAAATATAGAGTGCAGGCAGTACATTTCAATGGCTGGCCTCCTTCAGCGTGGTTAACTCTAGAGGCTGCTGATTTAGCATGTTCAGGGTCTAAATGTGTTTCTGATATTAAAGGAAGGTCTTACTTAATCTTGTGTCACAGTGTTTTTGCAGTATCGCAGTAATAATCCAGTTAATGTTTTCTCAATTCTGATGCAAGCTTGTTAAAACAGAACTGTGCCTTTCATTCTCACCACCAAAATATAATTTTCTTGAATTCTAAAACATTCATACATCAAATTCATTTCATATTAGCTGTAAACAATTTTAGTCATTTTAAATCAAAAATGGATCAAATGACTAAGTATAATGTGAGAGGGGGTCTTTATAATGATGAAACCACAGTGAACTATCACCTGATCTTTAATTTATTGGCACCACTCTCTCTTATCATTGTCACTCCAGGTCCCAACAGGGGAGATTTCAGTAAAAAAAAGAAAATTTGGACTTCATCAGTGCATAATGAACTTATATTCACTGGGTCATCAGTAACACAGCTTTAAATGAATGCTGAGTCCTGTTGGATGTGTAATTAGGCACTTGCTCTCTGTTTATACCCTCAACTATTTTACCAACTTGGATCCAAAATAAAAAAAACAAAAAAAAAACAAATTTGCAATTAGTTAATGTTGCAAGCCAACAGGACTGAACAAAATGTTAAGAGAGAAAGGCTTGAAAGCCTTTGCCTCTTTGGCCACAGCAGCTTTACCTCGAGGTGTACTGGATGAGAACAATCCATTATAGTGAAGTAAAAGGGCGCAAAGACATGACAACCCATTACATGAAATATGGAATTTTAGTGTAGTGGGGAGGAGCGGGGCTGGATTTAGTGCACTGACCTAATGCTACCACCTCATGTTTCTTTGATGAGATCATGACTGTGATGCACTGATACAAGAGACATGAATAGACTTAAGGTTTCTGCCGAAAGAAGTATAAAAAAAAGGAAAGTGCTGGTGTCTTCGTATCCAAAATAAGGAACATTAATTACAAATATTATTGTGGCAGGCAACTCAGGTGGGAACATTACATTGTTTCTCATAAATATACATTTATTATTCCAAATTAACTCTTTAATATCTTTGCCTTTGATTCATATTGCCAGTAGATGGCTTTTGTTATAGCACATGGCACTCGTTTATTGTATTATATGTGGAGTTCGATTTAATGAGAAAGGGAGACGATGAAAAACAGACAAAAGGAACTGAGGGAGGATTGACTCATTCTCAAGTCACTCCCAGCAGTACCTTGCCTGAACCCTCGAGATCACTTGCCCAGATCACGATATCGGCCTCCTCCCTGACGGCAGGACAAATAAATTAACTACAGATCAGTCTCTCAAGATCTGGTTGTTTCCAGTAAAAAGAGCCTCTCATGACGAACTGGCTGTGGTCATGGGAGAGGAATGAGAGAAGGGATGGAAGTTGAAAGATGTTAGCTAGTTCCCATGTTGGTAAGACACCAGGTAGGTAGACATCACTGATAGTACCCTATATGGTCCATCCATCATGTTTCTAATCCACCAATCACTCTAGGGCAGAAATGATTCATCAACTAGGTGCTTAACAGAAAATTACTTGGAAGTCATTTGATACAAAATGCCACACATTTGCTGGTTTAATCATCTCAAATGCAAGAATTTGCTGCTTCCTTCATTTTACATAATGTTTATTTGAATATTTTGGACTATTGATTAAACAAAACAAGCTATAGTAAGGCATTATCTTGGACTCTGGGGAACTGTGATGGCCATTTTTCATTATTCTCAAACATTCTAATGATTAATCTGGATAATAAAAACAACTGTTAACTGCAACCTGACATCCATTTACCTATCCCCTTATCCATAACTTGTGGACTCTCAGTGTCTCAGAGTGCACACTGAGCTGACCTGCTACAACATGTGGAGAATATTTTTTGTGTGGGTTGGCCATTACTGAATTACAATAATCTCCTCTTTTGTGCATTTCAGTTATAAGTAGGGCAAGCATTTTGTACACAGATCTCACAGGCTGGCTATTATTATGCTTACTTGTTATCTGAACAGAAATGAGATGTTTAGTTGTTTCCAAACTATAGATGATCAATCCTTGAAATCAGACAAGCAGGTGGAAGCACTGAAGCATAGATAAAAACTGTTCTAGGTGGTCCGGCCACATCATACTCATTCTCCAAAGAATACTGTACATGTAGCTTCCTAATGTGCTTGCTATTTCTGAGCCAAAATAAATATCCTTCAGGGGGGATATTTATAGAGCAATGAAAGACCCATTGTAATTGACAGTTCAACATTTTTTGAGTTTAATGAAGATCAAAATGACTTGTTTTGACAATTTTTAGAATCACAACACTGACACAAATCACAAGAAATGGAAAGAAAATCATCCCCACCCCCACCCCCCAATTAAAAATGTTATTCGACAAATTTAACAGTAAGAAGTGCAATCTACACATTTAACAAGCATGAAGCTCATAAAGGCAATGATATGTGCTGAAGATTTCACTGTCGGTGTGACTTCTGAAGTGCACTTAGATGTTCACTAATTCAATATTTTCTTTCAGACCCATGTAGCAACCCATTTCTTGGGATGGTTTTAAAGCTTTTGCATTATAAAAGCCATTCCCTAAAACTGAATCTGTTCTCTGACCTCTGGCTGCCTTTTATTTCATAAAGTATTAAATTGCTGGCAGAGAACAAAAACCGGCCCACTCACCTACACAGACTTCATTAGGTGCAAGACTGCCCAAATCCAGGAGTTTTAAAAGTGGGCCTAATTGCAACATCAATTTTTCTGCACTTCCTCAATGACCCTAATAGAAGCGCAATCAAGCAGGATCCATGAAGAAGAAGAAGAGTCTCACAAAAGGCCAACATTCATAAGGGCTGCTGGGTGGGTGATAATAAAGAAAACATCGCCGATTCAAGATCATGCATTTACTGTCTCAGCTTTAATAAAAAAGCTGTTTAACACATACCGTGAAGTCATGGGAGCCCGTGACCGCACTACCATCTTCCAGGTAATAGGTTTCTGTGTAGTTTCTTGCAAAGAGCCCCCTGGAAAGGATAAACAAAAACAACAAACACTCAGAATAGACTCTAAGGTGCTTCATCTAAGAGAAAATCAATCACAATGTCTTAAGTCATTCCACCAGCGCCAGGCCTGCAGGAAAGATAAACAGTCTGATGAAAACTTAACCTTGCTTTAGGAGATCATAGCTGTAGCTGTAGCAGAGCAGCTGTAGGCCTTGAAAAAGAAAATAGATACATCAAAGGTTTTCTACTAAACCCATCTCATGCCATGTGCATTCACCACAAAAAGGTATCCAGTACCAATCCATAACTCATTCCATGTGATATGGTAGAAGAGCAAATTTGCTCACACACTGCAGACGATAGGAGGTAATGAGCATATAGACGTTACAGTAGGATCCAATGAAAACAGGAATGCGGAGATCACCTTGTCAGGAATGCAGTAAAGAAATCGTTTGTAGTTACAGATGAGAATCAATAACTCTATAAAGTGGCTTTCTGAGGTTACCGAGTGATCCATTTACAGTTTATGATGAGAAAGCACAATAAATCAACATAGCAAATCTCTGCTGCAGGGAAACAGAGGGATTTTCTACTGCTCTCTACCATGTAGCACTGTAAAGGTTGCCACATCATACCACATCACATTTTCTCTAATCTAGACAAAGCACAGACTGTCAACAATGAGGTAATTACTTTTATAACACTCAAAGCTTATAGTTTTTAGCCCTGCTAGCAGCAGAACTATAGAGAATGCAATGCCAGCCACAGACTTGGCCAAAATCTGGTTATGTTTTGGAGAAACTATGAGTTTTTATAAGTGTGGGAATCTCAGGTTAAGATACATTACTGTCAAGATATTTTGCCCACAATAATAGCAATTCTGTGATACACAATATATTATGAGAAAATAACCTATCAAGTTATTTGCAAATGAAGAAAAAAGTTTTTTTTCCCCCCAAATTTTTATTAGGAATACATCAGTTTTACAGAATAGAAACAATGCCTCTCTTGCCTACTGACCACTGCTCCTCAGCTGAGCAGACAGTAGAGAGAGATCAACAATTAGCTGAGACCCAGTGAAGCAATGTGGACCCCTTCTGGGTAGATTATTACAACATGAGCATATGTATTTGTATTTGCGTTCAAGCAAGGACAAGTGTCTGCGTCTTCGTGTCTATATACTCTACACACAGCATGCACGTGTACAGTATTACACTCCGGGACACCAGCAGATGGTTGGGCTGGTGCTAATCCATAGCAGAGGAACAAACCTCAGCAGGCAGCTGGATTCTCTTACTGACCTCACCGCTGACAACCCAGCTGGGAGTGTCAGCTGTAATAACCCAGGGAGGGGGGTTATTTTGTTTGGGAGCTGTCAGTATGAAGCACAATGCTTCCCCACCCTCTACTCCTCTACAGAGCCAAAGAGCTGGTAATAATCACTGGATCAAAGTGAGGCCAAAGAGTAGAGCGAGCCAAATAAAATGATGTGTTTCTCCAGTCTTAATCAGGTCTGCGCTCTCCGATGGACACGCAACTTCAACATCTGCCCACAGCAGATAATCCAGTGTGGTGAGTGTGTGCCTGCTTCACCGCTTGCCAGACTCTGGGAGAGTCTGGCTATGAAAAAAATGTTGCAGACAACGTGCCATCCATATGTTACATGTTCTTGCTCAAGGACAACAAGAGGACACAAGAAATCTAACTGATGTAACAGCAGGTTGTATGATGAAAGCTTAGTGGATTACAATAATGACTTTAGCTAATGTCACCAGTCTATTTAACATGGAGAACATGTTTCCTGTCTTCGAGTTAGCCCTTAGTTTTCACACATTTCAATTGATTCTCTCAATGTTGGGGTCCTGAATATGCCAGCAAGGAGACTGCAGAGGAAAAGAACCAGTAGTTGTTTCCTTCCTTCCAAAATATACAAGCGTTCTCCAGTTTCCTGTTTATTAGGAAGCAGTGAAAGTGTCAGAAACAGCACTGATAGGGCAGTGTTTGCTGTGTGTGTGTCAAAACACATGTCTGGTCTAATCACAGATAGACCAGCAGTAGCAAATTAGATGCCATCTTAGTGGCTTGGCTTGTTACTAGTCTCCTAGTCTGGTAACTCACACAGTTATTAGATTCACAGCGCAGTGTCATAATAGGTGCCAAGATTAGGCCCTTCTTGGCAACTGCAGTCAACATTTGTGGTCTAATGAGGAGAGAATTATACAAATAGACAATGCTAAACCTGTCCATTCTTTTATATATTGCACAACAATACAATGCTGCAATCAGCATAAGACATACAATAAAAAACATATAGAGGAATACCATTTGCAATGAACTGCTATGCTATATAGCTATATTATATAGTGTTTAACCCATCCCACATGGCAGCAGCGGCAGCTCGCTGTTTATCAATCATTGTAAGGTTAATGAGGCATGAGGGCAGGGAGAGGGCATGGTGGTAGCCCCCCCTCCTCCCCCCTCAATTAAAATGCATCACTCAGGGGACAGGCCTCAATCAGGGCTCTGTCTAACTGACAGGGAGTTGGCATCAGGGAGAGGCACCATGAGTCAATAAGAAGATACCACGTTCTGGCTGTTAATGCCACAGAACATCTCCCAAGCGTAGGCAGCCTGACACCCAAACAACCACAACAATGGCAAGTGTGACACAAAAGGAGGCCAATATTGGTGAGATGTGCGCTACTGCTGCATGAACGTGTCCTATAACTCGGAGAAATATTTATCTTCTCGTCATCTGTTTGACAAGTACAATAACCATAATTACAATTGTTATGTTTACATCTTGTCACACTGTCTCGGGGTTGACAAGATAAACTAACATTTTGAAAGAAAATATATTAGATGAGGGATACAGTCAGATTTGCCTTCTAGTAGATTTGACAATGCATACAGAAAGACAATGAAGTCACTTTAAGCAAAAGCTAAAACTACTCTGTGCCATTGCTTTTCTCCCTGTGTTAAATTATATTTTTCCATTGTATCTCTTCACAGTCTTGTATAATGTGTATTTATGCAAGGTCCTATCTAAATGGTCTGGATTCAGATGTACAAACAAATGTCATGACTAATAATTCCCTGTTGTGATTGTTCCGATTGAGAAAATATGCTAACCTTGGAAAAGTAATCTCATCTGTGATTTGTCAACAAATTCCAACTTTCTTTTACACATGGTCTTCATTGTTACCATTTGTTCTGCTTGTATGTGAAGAGTAAACGGAGGGATGTGAGGTACATTAATTATAACAGGTTTGATGAATTGGAGCTAGAGTCTAATCAAACAATAACAGTATGGGGGAGGGGGTATCATCTGTAGGTGAGGGCTACATATCACCTAGAAAAAAGCTCCAGACTACAAATATGTAACCTGGCAGTCATGCTGGAGAAAGAATTTTTATAACATTTATTAAGTATGACATAGGATTGTACATGTAGTCTTGTACTGAAAACATTTGATTATGGCAATAGCCAAAGCAGAAACATACAGACATACAGGACATACCAGGAGCTGAGCTTAAGTTAAGCATGAAAATGCATTCCCCATGAGAGAGAGGGGAGCTCAAATTGCTTGGGACACTTTGTTCAAACTTTGGAAGAACAACTAGATCTTGGATTGACTATGTGGCTACAGGCCGAGAGCAGGAAGAGAAACTTTACTGTGTTCCCTGCACAACTCTTCTGTGGTGGCTTAAAGCTACAGTCAGAAGAGTTAAGCCTGTGCTACCCAACTGCTAACAACTTCAATCATTAGCTGCTAATGGGTTTCCAACTTTAAGCTCTGTTCTCTTGATAATGTATTTGTGACAATAATAAAAGTGCTGTAAAAAGTACATTAGCCTCCTTTATGGAGTGCATATACAGTGAAAAGCCTTAATTATCTTACTATGCCTAGTATATAATACCATAGCCATCATTACCATTGCTGGAATTCAAGCTCAATGTGCGGTGATTTCCCAGTTACAGCCTCCAATACTTTGTCTCATTAAGCTCAAACAACCTAATCAGGGACTTCTGGACTAATCCTGGAGTTAACCATGATAAAAGAGAAGCTAGGCACTGGGTATCTAGATATCAAGAAGCTCTCTAACATTTGTACACCCTGTTTTGTAATGGAAAATTATTTACAACAGATGTAAATATAAACATTTAGAGTAGATGAAATCATCAACAAAGAAATATGTTTCTCATAAAAACTAATCTAGGATCTCCAATTAGTACATTACATTTCAACAGAGAGACTCATGAGGTGATGTAGTGGTAATAATGTCCACCTCCTTTTATGTGGCAAGTGGCAAGAGCCCAGCTTCGCTTGGAAAAAGTCAGGGAAAAGTGGGATCATGTGCATGAAAACCTACAATAGTGCAAACTCCTAAAGCCAAAAAAAAATCATTTCAGTGTTAGAAACAATTTTTTTCCAGGAGGAAGGGAAGAAGGCCAGTCTTCCTGGCTGTGATCTGTCTGACATCAGGCAGTGTTGCAGGCCAGTGCCAAGTAGAGCAGAGAACCAGAATTCCCCCTGCTTACCCTGAGCTCAACGCAAGTCCCAGTCTGCACAAAGCATGTCATGACCAGAGCTGCTGGAGCATGGCAGCCAATGATTTCTGCTCAAGGAAGGGAAGGAATGGGGGAGGAAAAAAAGAGCAAAAAAGTCAAGGCAGATGGTTTTGACGTTTCATGTATCAGCTGCTATGTTCTGTAATAATCTAACATGCAGCTCAGGGGCACCCCTGGCTCTAGGACCAACACTCACTCCAGCACTAAAGCCAGTTCTGTTGTTAAATAGCAAAAATGGAAAGCTTTCTCATATTTATTTTACACCAAAAAAAAGCAGTTGGTCTTCATCCTGGTTTCAACACACCATAACAGCCTCATTATGAGTCTTTCCAGCTGTGTGTCCCATTGTGGTTAAATGGTCAGTGAGATGGTCAAACAGAATAGCCATTAGCAGCAGTGGCACGCATCCCCAGTGACTGTCACCTTGAGATTGATGTGGTTAAGCCACAGCATGCCCCGTGAAATCAATAATGTGCCATCACTGTGTAATGTCTGAGTGATGGATGACTCCACAGGTTCCTAATTACAGAGACAGGATGATGAATACCACCGCAACAATGAATAAGATAACTGGAATTAGGACAGAAATGCAACACTAATCTTTGATAAAGTGTGAAGGTTTCTTAAATGTTTCAATTTCTTAGTACAAAAAGTATGCCGGAGATGGTCCACTACCCAAAAGGCCCCACTGTCCTGTACTTTACAATAAACTTGTATCTCATATAGAGTAAGAAACCAGCCATCCTTACTACTGAATCATGTTCACTACTTCAACTATGCAGCTAAAAAGGCTGAGTATGTAGGTCACATAAGAGAGTGGGCTCAGTGGACCAAGAAATAGAGAAAGCCCAGAGGCGGGGGGGGGCACAGTATGTGCTGTTAGCAACCTCACACCTCCATTATCTTGTGTGGACATGCAAAGCAGAAGTCTGTCCTTACCAAAAAAAAAAGACAGTGCTGGTCATTTGTCAGATGCTTAAACAGAGCTATGGTCATAGTTTTCCATCAAGCGAGCTCTTATAGTTGCAAAAACAACGAGTCTCTCAGTAAAAAGAAAGAGAAAGTGGTGTTATGCCACCACAAAATGGATGATAACACCACCATCTAAACCAGGCAGTTTCATTAGCCTTAATGAGTTGTCACCCAAAGTGGGGGCAGACCAGGAAACATTCGTGAGTTGTTTTAGGAACAGCTGCATGGGTCATTGTTGGACAAAAGTGTCATTTGAGAACTTGTTTTTCCTGGTCAGCTGTCCTTCAGCACCGTTGTATCCTGTGTTGCATTCAGCACACATGCCTCACCATGCTGTATTATGGGATCACAATGTTTCTCACTGCACCACAGTTCTGCATGGTCCAATCCTTCCACCCTGACAAGTGCATTGAATAAATAATAAAATAATAAAAAAACCCATGTTTATTTAAGTTATCATTGTTTGTCTGGTGTTGTATGCAGGACTTGGATAGAAACCTTTTTTGATCCCAAAAGAAATTCAGGACTTATCTCTGCATACAAACCTGCCGTAAGAGTCATAAAAACAAACCATCTAAAACTGAATAACTACAAGAAAAATGCAGCTCTGACTCAGATGTACTGTGCTGTTTTTAATTGTCAGTTCCCTCTTGTTTCGTCGTCTGTTGTCACTTGTCGACATGTGGCATCGAGTCACATCTGGCACTTGTGTGTTCTGTTTACACCTCACTGTCTCTCCCCCCTACGTTTGCATGCCAAAAGGGATAATTGGCATCTATAACAAAGATTACCCTGCAAGTAATAATCCCCTGCTCACTTCTTATTCACACCAGGACGGGCCTCTCTTATTTCTTCAAAAAAGACATTAATTTTCATTTTATTGTTCTTGATATCACAGATTTTCAGAGCCAGAGAAATGCAAGCACTTGCGGTTACTTTAAGGCAGTTGATTGATACAGTGTGATGTTTAAACCCTCCACTTCAGGTCAAGTACAATATGAAGCTTAAAAATTCCTTATGCTTGCAATTAAACAAGTGATAACAATTACACTGAAAATGTAGAAAAACACAATTTATACATCCTGGCAGTTTGTCACAGGTGGGCCAGTGACACTATCTGAAACTAATTAAGCCAGGTGCCAAAGCAGCACTCTCTTAAATCGCCTTTGTTGCTGTGGATCACTAGAGGGGAGATCCTTAATCCCGCTTTGTACTCAATCTAGACCACGAGCTTCTGTTCCTCTGTGGCAGGGAGCGTGCCTCTGCTCTGCCTCTTCATGTCCCTCAGGACAAACTCGAGTTGTGACTCTGCATGTGGGTGATGGAAAGAGAAAGTGTGTCCCCGCTTGTGTGTATGAAAGACCGCATGTGCTGATAGCTCAGTGTGATTTATGCACACGTCTGTGGGTGAGCATGTGTTTGTGCTTGTACACACCCAGGCATCACTGCATGAGCTGTGCACACAGTGCGGATTGTGTTTGTGCTTCGCGAACAGCAGGCTCGTGGCTTATATCATGCTGCATGCTCTTTTCTTTCAACACTATAAGAAAACCACAACACTCCTCACCTCATATCCTCAACTTCTCATTCAACATCTATGATTCCTGTATTGGAAAACAGTGAGCTGATCTCATTGGAGCTACATTCTACCATAGAAATAGTCTCAATAAATCCTAAAACCTGTGGACAGTGAGGTCTCAGGGTTGAGTAACAAAGATGCTGGGTTTCAAAGTTTTTGTATTTTTCCAATACTGTGCACACCACAAATACAATTTCATTCACTTCTATTGCATTGAGTTGTCTCAGAGGTGGACACCTCAGAACCTGAGCCTGATAACACTTGAAGCGAGTGATGAAGTTTTTCATAATCTGGGTGAACCAACCCCTCAGACACATTTTTATATTCATGTTTTCTAGCCTGTAGCAAAATCAGCAAATGCTGACAGTCCACAGATAGTGAGATGTAATTCATATTCCCCTCTGTGGATATATTCCAAGTGGAAACAATAAGATTCAAAACAATTAACTGCGTCACACGCTGCTTTGTCTGTTTTCCACATCACATTTTTGCTTTTTTAGATCATTAAGTGGGTTAAGACTGAGAACGGGAGGAGAGAAGTGGTGAATGCAAAGTCATTTTCAGGACGGGTCATGCTAATACAACAGCTTTGAGCTTTCCCATTAATTCAGATACTTTGCAAAAAACAGGCCTAAGGCCTCTGCATCTATATTCAATGCAACCTCGTGCTTGAACTAATGAGCGACTGGGGAACTTCAAACAACCAAGCCTATCATTCTTTTCACAAGGTAAATGCACATACAAAAAAAAAGCAGCATTTCAATTAATTAAACCTGTCGGTATTTGTGTGCCGTCCTCCCCTTTTTCTCTCACCTTGCACACCCTCAGGGAAATCAAACAATTTAGGACTGAATACAAATTTGCTCTCCCTCCCTTCATGTCTTTTACTCCTTTGATTGCAACTGTGAGGGAGCTGTCCTCCCTCCTCCCAGTAAAAACTTGATTTTGATGTGTTAGGTGGGTTTGGTTTTGCACCTTGACCCCGTGTTCATTTAGGTGGCAGAAGAAGAAGGCTACAAGATTAGAGCTGGAGGAAGCAGAACAAAAACAACTCAATTATTTAAAGAGAAATTAATCATTAGTGCAAAGTGCAAGGTCAAAACACTCATGCATTTGCAACAGGTATGGTCGGCACTGTAAGACAAAGTACTGAATGCTTCTCTGCTGAGAAAACCCCATGTCATTTCACCCTGTGTCTAAATTCGGTGATTGATTTCCTAGACTGATTTCTACTTACTCCTCGATCATCTGTGGTTCATTGATCACTGGAAGGTATGAATGTAGCTCCTGTTGTTCAGCTGATGCATCTTGGACCACACAGCTGGAGTTTGTTCAGTTTTACGGCAGCAGTGACCCATCGGGCATCAAGAAAAGGTGAGCGTAGCATCCACAGACAGAACATCATTCATTAATTTTCATCAGCATTTAGAATAAAATCACTTGCAAAACTAGGGCCATAATAAGGAATATAGACACTATGAGGTTATGAGTCATAAGCAGGGGCCAAATGTTATAAAATATAATTATTTTTATGTTTTATATATTCAGTTGTGTTTTCTGTGAATTTTAATTCCCAACATGAAGATCTGAATGCAGCTTCAAAGCCTTCTCCACACTGCTGGTGGGGAAATACCGAGTCCTTCATTTACTTATTAATTAACTGGATAATTTGAATAAATTTAGTCTGGTGTGAACAAAATAATCTCCTGCTTAATATAAGTAAAACCAAAGAGATGGAAGTACACTTTAAGAAGGTAAGGGGCTCACTTGACCCATTAACCATCAGGGATAAGGTTGATGATTTTAAATTTTCAGGCTCTGTCACATTCTCTAATCTCAGCTGGGGAAATAATGTTTAAGGGATTCTTATAAAATCTCATCAGAGACTGTTCCTCTTGAGCAATTTGGAAGCAGATAGTTAGCATTAGCTTAGCATGAAGACTGGAAGCCAGGAAAAACAACTAGCCCGGCTCTGTTCAAAGACAACACAATCTGCCTATCAGCACCTCTAATGATCACACAACCACTAGTTATCTGCTGTTTGTTTAATCAGAAACCGAATGTGTCCTTTCCTGCTTAATCATCTGTAAATTAACAACCCAACCATGACCTCTGTGCTTGGAAACTGATGATTTCAAGGCAACTGTGTCATGGACTCAGACCTCAGTTCCACATAGCTACAGCCTCTTTATCAAATCGTGGAAGCTCCTGTTGTTTTTGGCAGCTCACGCCTCTCCCCACTGCTGGAGGAATGAGGTGAGAGTGAGTGAGGAAGAGTTCGAGGGCCAACCAAAGGAGACCCTGCTGTGTTCCATACCCCAATAGGGAGTTAATAGATATTGCTGATGGCAAGGAAATAAGCGAGGAGAGGGAGACATGGAGGCAGGCAAACAGAAAGGAGGGGGACTGCCTTCACACCTCATCTGACAAAGCAGAAACACCAGAAGCCTCCATTCCAGGCATCACACATCCTTCCCCACCCTGTGTGTTCATCTCTCAGCACTGTGAAACTTCAGAGCCTTAATACAAAAAGCATCTGCTTTCTGCATGACATAGAGCCAGAGGAAGACACTGTGCTCCAGGTCCCTGACTTTGTTTGCACCATTTGATTATATCACTAAGCCAAGGAAAGAGTTGTTTGAACTTTAACTCCCACACAAGTTTTCTGCTGAGTCTTGTGGAGATGTTTTAAATGAGTCAAAAGCAGGATCACCAAAGTTAAAAATGAAGATGAATTCACCATTTTTGGAGAGGTTCATCAGCAGATATGCTACCTTTTAGGGCAAGACTACTGCTGTATTTTATTTATTTATTTTTTTTGCTATGCAAGTTAACTGGAGCGAATGCTGTTTTTGCCTTCGATCCAGCAATCATTTTTCACAAGGACACTGCTCTGCGTGAGAACATGTAGAGCAACAAATCTCCTAGATCAGCTGAACAAGAGAGGGTTCTGACTGTCTGACTGATGACCACGCGTAGCTTCTTCACTCGGTCAGTGACCCCACATGCAGGGAGGGGTGGTCATCGGAATGTCAGTGGACTGTGAGACCGGAGAGAATGGGACGGAGTAGGGCGAGCAATCCCTCCCAGCTGACATTAACTAACACTGTAACTCCGGCAACTCTATCTGTCTGTCTGTCAGAGGGAGGATGGAAGCCAGGAGTCTGAACTGATTATCTTTATGGTGAGCAGCAACAGAGGTCAAAAACTTTGGCTGCTTTTGTTTATTCCCTTTGGCACCCTAGAGCCTTGAGAAAATGAGATTCCACTTGAATTTATGGGGAGTGTTTGCTTAAATAGGTGAAAGGGAGAAATTGCAAGCCCGAGAAAAACACAGAAAGACAGACAATCTGAGGAAAAATGCAAACAAAAGAAAGATGAAAACCGAGGGCCTTGGCTAGCACTAACTTTTATACTACAAAGCCTTCGTCTAATAAAGTCACATTTGCATGTTACAAATTTATCCTTGGCATTTCATCAAGTCATTTATGGTAGTTCATACTCAAATTATTGTGCTGTGCATTTAAGCTACAGTTTACTGCATGTAAAAACAGTATGTTATTCCTTTTAGGCATACAAATCAAATATATAAAGACAGGGTGTGCATTTATGCTCTACTTTCATAGCTGCATTTCAGCAATACATGAGCCCCTGGAGGGAGTGATTTTATTTTACTCGCTTATTTCCCCCACATCTGCTTACAGTACTACAACTCTGACATTATTGTAGATATTTTGGGAAGACAGCATGGTTACAGGTTCCCAATCCCCGAGTCTGGTTATTGTCATACAGTATATTCATAAATGTTAAATCCACTTTGATTTGTCTTTTTCATTTCAAAACCTAAATGCAAACAAAGTAGTGAACACAGGGAAACACACCAGAGACTGTTTTATGATTATAAAAGGCTAAATTTGTACTCCAATTGTTGAAATAAATATTCAGTTGAAGTGAATATCCAGTATTTACACAATCTGGTGCTCCTGCAACTAACCAATAGATGACAACAGGCGCTCTCTATGGCTTCAACATGTTATAGCAGGTTACAAAAATTCTGTATTCAAAAGGAATATTCTTATTAGTCTTTGGTAAATCATTTCAGCAGAGTGATAAATCAAAATGTAATTCCTTTAACTTTGTATTCTGTTCAGTAATGGCGGAGCTAAGAGCAATCTAAATACGTATACGTCTGATCAAACCATGCTGGAGTCAGGAGCAGATATAAGAATGAGGTCAAGCTCATATTCAAAGTGAAACAATTATTATAAATACATTCAAAGATGGATATAAAGTTGGAAATAATATGTGCTTGCGTTATTCACACCTCTTGAAAATGCACAAAAGCCCTACCATAAATGTTCCTGCAGATAAATTTACATGATGCTCTATTAAATGCAAGTTGCACAAAGGTCTGAAAATGAAACACATGGTCTAGTAGTCTACCTTCAATATTCCTTCTGTTCATAAATTTTAATGCAATCGTGTACTAAAAGGATATGTGCCTGTGTGAAACGATGGACTGGCATTTACAGGTGAAATAACACGGGTTATTGTTCAGCCTCGGAGTTGTTACATTAACGCCAAAATGTAGCACATCGGATTCATAATAATGGAAGAAAGGCCTCACAAAAGATGACTCATAGAAAAGATGAAAAATAACAAGATGCGGCCCGTCTAGTTGTTACTTGACTGTCGTACCTTCCTGTTCACAAAAACAGTCTACCTGTTTCTACAATCCTGAACACTACCTACACAGCAGCACCCAATAAATCCCAACTTCTACAGCCTCTGACAGGCTGGTCGCAGCCTAACGCCAGCTGTGGAAACAAAACCCAATCCCTTCCCCTCATCAGATATTAAGGAATACACAACAACGTCAAAAGACTTATTTCTGTTGTGGTCTGACAACAACTCTAAAACCTGCAACAAACACTGATAGCATCATAAAAAACTGTAAATTAGAAAGTGTCAAATACCACATAAGCATATAAGATATACATAGAATATAAAAGGTATAAATTTACTTAGTTTAAATTACTGACACAGAAAAATCATGAAATGCACCCACACATAGTATACACATGTTTTAAATGCACATACATTAGACTGCTAAACCCAGCCACAATAACAACCTCTATCACAAAACGAAGGCATCTTTATCTGCAGGGGCCTTCATAGGTTCTTTGGTGAAGGTGAGTGATGGCTCATCCTCCAAAGAGGAAGTGCTGTTTACAGCAGGTTTCAGTTGGCTGTGTGTTTTTTAGTGAATGGAGGCAGACTGAGGAATAGATCTACCAGCTGGTGTCCTAAGACCCCTGCAGTCTATCTGGAAAAAGGCTCAGAGTGGAGAGAGGAAGCCCCCATCACTGAATAAAGAGTCTGTTTTTAACAAGGCCGCCTTCATTTTCTTCAGTTCTCTATTTAAAGGCCCCATCCACTCAGAAACATTCTTAGCAGTTTGGGATGTGCAGAAATGGCCAAATGAGGAGACTGGGAAGCTAAATAGAGGGAAAGTGACATCATGTGAAGGGTTTCAGTTCTTGATGGACTTGTATGCCATTAAAACACATTTATAGAGACACACACAAAAGACTGTACATGTGTATCTGACTCTTTTCCATCCTGAAAAAAGAACAACCCAGTCTAAGAGCTTCCCAGTGTTTCTGGGTGCCTCCTAATTAATTAGGATCATAAAGCAGTGAGTCCATCTGTTTAATTACTGCTCTAAGCTGCAAAATAGTTGGAGCTTTGGAGAAGGTAACTGAAAAGAGAAAGCTCTACCCAAAAAATCCCTTTTGAAGGAAACAGTTCAAAGGTGCTGACTCTGGACAGAGATGAGCCCGTTTCCAGGGCTTGTCTTAAAAACTAATGAATCACAATATATCATGGGCTGGCAGCCGCAAGAGTATCATGACAGGTAACAAAGGCTAGAGGTAACCTCAGTGCATCCTTTGCTGGGAAATAAGATTCATTGGTTCTGAATGAATTTTAGAACATAGTATCTGTGTGTGTGTTTGGATACAGCTGATGACAGAAGTGCAGGAAAGAGAGAATTAATGAGCATGGGTACAGCCAGGTTTTGAGTGACCTGATGGATAGAGAGTGCAATGGGCTCTTTCCGCCCTATTAACAGTTATTTTCACTGTACATTACCTACCTGCCTGCCAGCAACTCATTTGCCCACTGTGTACATGCATTTCTATTTCTCTGGGAATGCTTGACTAACAGATCAGAGCACAAGCGTATTACGCTCTGACAGGGGATACAGATGTGAAGAGTTGGGTAAGATAATCAGGAGCAAGACTGTAATTATACGTCATCCCCACAGTGATTACAGGAGCATAGTAGGAAGAGCAAATACAGAATTTCAAGCGTTACTGCCTTAGTGGTTGGGCATTTCAAATCACCTGTTTTCTCTTCTTATCCTCCCTGTTTCCTCATGTTGTGCTCCTCTTTATCCATGTATTCTTACTACAAAGTAGTCATTATAGACATTGAATTATGTAATAAACCGTTTGATTTGAGTAAGCAGTAATGCCATAATGAGATAAAGACTTCTCATCTTGTTTTTTTACTGACTTAATAACTTACATACATTCCTTGTGTCAGTCCTGGCTTAATGACAAAAGGAAGGATTTGATACGCTTGGGTGTCTTTGGGTTAGATGCTCCTTAATCTGTGTGTGGTTAAGAAGCCAAGAACAATAACTCTACAAAGGAGATCACAAAGATGTATTTTTTCCAGAATGAGTTGATTATTTGTGTAGTGTCTTTAGCCTTCTGTTTGCTCAAGTCCCCAGGAGAGGCGGTTTCCTGTCCTGTGAGACACGAGGACAACTTTATCGAGAGAAGCCAACGGGTCACGGGCCAGCAGCAGTCCAGTCTGAGATATGGAGTCAAACAACATCCCTAAAACTCAATGCAAAAACTGTGACAAGCTGTGTCTGGATCATGTTCAGGCAGAATTTTATTGTTCTTCGAAACACAGAGGAGACAAGAGGTTTGCATCTTTTCAAGCAGGAAACTATCCTCTTCCTGCCCTCTCACAGGGAAAAGGCCAGAGGAAAGTGTTTACATGTACGTGTGTGTGTGTGCGCTCCTTTGGTGTCTGTTGGTCTCACAGTATAAAAGACTCCAAAAGATGGATAACCAACCTCTCAGGTCCCTTATGCTCAAGACTAAACAACATGATGAGCCGGGAGAAACCTCAAGCGCAGGCAACCAAGAACAATCCCCATACTGCTTATGAGTGCTAGGCTTCCATTCAGTGATCTTGTAGTCCATTAAAAAGGGAAATACAGTCGGAGAGAGCACTGGCTGCTCAACTTGGGACTCATTCTAATATGCCTGGAGGCCTCACATTCAAAGTCACAAAGCAGCAAGAGTTGCTAGAACAGCGTGGCCAGGAGTGGCTGAAAAAGGGAACAGGATTTGCTAAAACGGCGTGGCCAGGAGTGCCTGCCATACCCAGTGGTCAAAGCTCAACAACTGTTCCCACTAGTCTACTGTGTTGTAGACATGGTCAAGTGTCGGGGTTTCTTTCCCCCGGTGGAAACAAGAAGCTAGATAAATTGATGCCTGCACTTATGTGAAAAGAAACAAATACACCTAGATGAAATGGTAAATGAATGTGTTTGTGCATTTGTCTACGTATATATACACATAGCACTTTTCCACCTCAGCAGAACAAGGTGATTTACAAAGCTTCTCACTCAGCCATATGTACACACACTCACTCATCCCCACTGGCTTGCTCATTAGCATCAAATTGGTTCAATCTTGCCTTGACACATGATTTAAAAAAAAAAACCTCAACGTAATAAAGAACAAAGGTGCTGTTTGACAAAGGCCATACGAAGCTTATACTGTACTAACTATATTGATCCCAGAAGATGAGACACCAACAGGCATCTCAAATTCAACACAGCAGATGACCGTGACCAGGCTTATTTTATCTTTGTGGTAAATGCAAGAACATATTGCTACATCATGCCCAAGCAAATGACTTTCACAGCCAGGAAATGCTGAACAGTGCACACCTAGGGGAGCGTGAGCAGTATTATCCGGCTAAGACTGGGATGAAGCAAGAGGCTTGATTTTCACCTGCTGGATCCTCACATTTTATAATCAGTATACTGAGTTAGATACAGTGACCTGCAAAACCAAGCAATGACAAAAAATGTAATTCTTTAAAGCTGTTTGTGATAAAACTGTCATGCAACCAAACCTTCCTAGGCAACTTCTGCAGGAATGATGTGAATTCAGATACTGGACACAGTAAATACAACACAAATGACTGCATTCAGCTGTGCAGCACACCTGATTTTTTGTTGTTGCAAACATACGTATTAAGGGAAGACCTGAGAAAACGTCATTTCATTTCATTTCGGAGCCCCTCTCTGTTTGAACAACTGGATTTCATCAGCAGCAAGCAGCCCATCTGTGAGCAACCTCAGTAAAGAGCCTTCACTTAATGTCACCACGGTAGGTACAGCTCTGACTCTCACACACTGATCCGCAGGGCAAATCCATCCAATAACACACATCCTCCTCAAATCCGCATCCATTTGTGTTTTGTCTTGTCAAACACGCATAACACAAAGTCGTATTTTGACTTATCACAGAAGGATGTGAGAATCAACAAATGATGAAAACCCATCTCTTCTAGTAATTAAATCTCCAGATTTCCTGCAAGTGTTGAGAGTACATTCTGACACACAAGTATTCAGAATGCACAGAGGTTTGTTTGAGTAAAGCTTTTCCATCATGCTCAAGCTCATTAAGGATCTCGACTGGACCTCTCTATCGTCTTTGTTGTTGCTTCTCGGCTCAGGGTGTGAGCTCAGCTGTGGACTTTACATTAAATACTGTTGGAGAACAATGACAGCCAGTGCTGGGTGAGGATCATGTGGGTAATACATAGGAAGGTAAGGTGTTTTTCCACTGCAGCTGATCACAGGGGAACAGTTTATTTCCCATTTTGAAATAAAATGTTTTTCCTGTAGGAGAGTGTAATCCCCTGGCATAAATGGGGCTGGTGAAAATTTGACAGTTTGTGAGTCAACTTTGCAAAATCCCCACCTGTGCAAAAAAAGGAATGTTATTCGACAGAAAGACCGAGTGTGATTTCCCATCAAAATATTTTCAAAGTAGGTAAGCCATAAAATTGCGGTTGCTTGTGTTGAAAGCTTTGTCTCACAGTCTGCCGGTGGAATTTACATATATTAAGCATGGAAAACAAGTGAGTTTCATGGCTGACTTTGGCATAAAACCCATCTGCTCTCTCCCTCTCTCTCTTTGCTTCCCTCACCTTCTTTCTAACACAGACAGTTCTGCTTGTTCCTGGTTGCTCATGTGTGGCAGCAGAGCTGGATGGAAAACATATTGCTCCATCAATCACGTCCCATTCTTCTCAGCAACACGCTCGACTCAGAGGCTGAGGCCGCATTGAGTCAGCCCTTGTGTAAAAATGCAAATATGATAAATATGCCTCCAAACCGATCCAGAGCTACATCTCTGTCAAACTGTACCTATTCCAATTTCCTGATTGCTTTCAAATGATGTTCTCCCTCTTTGACTGAAGGCGGTGACAGTATCTTAACACACAGAGACCTGACTACATGCTGCGTTCAAGCAAAGCCTCCTTCTCCCCTGTGTTAGACCAATACTGTAGATTAAATGAAAAGAAGGGAGAAGGAGGAAGATGTCAGTTTTCATCCATGTCTGACTGATGTATCCAGAAATTTCTGTCTTTCAAGTCTTTGTTTCAGCATACGAAAAGACTAAAGTGCAGAGAGTGCTGCCGTGTTTGCACTAACAATGCAAGAGAGAAAGATGTTCTCCCTCCCATTCCCTGGCTGTTATGTGTGACACATAACTTGGCTACAGCCCCGGTTGTAGCCCGTGGGCAGCACATATGTCACTCATTTGTACTCCAGAAAGCATTCTGTTTCAAGCTAAGGTTGGGCATGAATCAAGGGAACACTTACTTGTTTTTCTCCAGGGCCAGCAGCATCTGCTCACCTTCCACTTCAATCAGGAGCTTCAGTGATGCAGGGTGACTCTGAAGAGACAACACACAGGGGGTGGGGGGTGTGAGCAAATTAGTTCTGGAGTCAGGCCGGCAGCATTTTGATTGAGGAAAAACGGCTCTGGTCGCTACATTAGTTCGTGTGTTTCATATTTAAGAAAATAAATCAAAGTGTGGCAAAAAAATTAAAAACAGCAAATAGTTCTTGAAAAACCTTTATTCTACTGATGAAACTTTGGATGAGCCACCCAGCAGTGTGAGAAAACATGCAGGACGACTGTTTTCAATTGATGAGAGCAGTCAGAAATCCTTATAAAGCTACTTTCTATCTTAGAAGAGACATGAGGATTAGCTTTATGTTTCTATTCCATTGACATTAATCCCTCAGAAAGCCATGACTCTTCACGCCTGAGTTACAACACTGAGAGAGACCGTGTGTCTCTGTTAGAGTGAGATGAAGTGGCACTGAGTCGTACATCACTTCTGTCAGTCAAGCTGTGCCATAAACGCGGCTGCACATCCACACACACACTCTCCTCCTGTGTGCTGCGCTCTCACTCACTCAGGCACAGAAACATAAAAAAAAGATCCAATGTCTCACAACATTCTCTATATCACTGAACAACCACACACACACACACACACACACGTCACACATGTCACACATGTCACACATGAAGTTCAATCTGGGTCAGCTGTGCTAAAAAGCACTGCTCTGGGTTAAGTCATCTTAACTAAAGGTTTCAGGCAGTAGCACTGCACAGGCCATGTGGGACTAAAGTCCCTGCTACTTTCTGTCCACACAGTTTTCAATATGCTGGATTTGACCTCTTTCACATATTTAGGAGTTCAGGAAACTTCAAGGAACGCTGCCTATTTGGGGATGTTATTAAAGGACTAATATTTTCAAATTAGCACTTTGTTTTGTCTTTATTTTGTTGCATTCTATACACAGATTGGAGGTTTTGTTTTGTTTTGGGGTAATAAGATCCCAGAGAAATCTAGTGGTATCTAGTCTGTTTGGTTAAGCCACAACAAATTAATCCACAAATGAATCAACTCAAAGACTCAATCTGGAAACTCAAGCTGTTTTTAAGTCTGCCTGACAGCTGTGTATTTTGTTTTATCAAGTCAGCCACTATAACACCAAACAGAGGCAAGGCTTCCAGATTTCAAGCATTTCATTAATGTTCCACTGGGTCGAGCAGTGTTTTCTTTCATTATAAGATATTGTTCAGCTGTCTGTGTTTGAAATGAACTAAACTAAAGACAAAGAAGTGATGTCAGCTATCTCCACCTGGCTGTACAGGGCCCTGCACACTGTGTCTGGGATTTTAATACACAACAACAGAAAAATTTACACTTCACTTTGCAACACAAATTATTAAATCTAAGATTATTACTTCAGCCCATGAGCTTATCTTAATGTCTGAGCTACACAGTATATGAATAAAGGTTAAAAACAGGCTCAAAAGTAAACCTTGATTTTAAAAGATTGGTGTGAAATTCACCTCCTAGATTTCGATATTTCTTATGTACATGTGAAAATTTTGACCTCATGGCGTTGCTACAGCATATTTCATGAACATACATTTTGACCTGAAGGTGAAGAGACCCCGTAATCATGAGAATTCATCTGCAGGGGATCATTTCCACAGTTTCATGACACTGTGCTTGGAACAGTCAGGATATGTGGACCAGCGCAGGAGAGACAAACAATTACAAGAACAAGCAGAGCAAAATATAACTCAACTACCATTTATCACCTGGGATTTGAGCTGGCTGATTGGTTTCCAGTCTTGTCCAACAAGCTGAAGAGGTACTGTGGTCCCATAGTGCTTCTGCTTTGCTGTTGGTCTGTCTTGAACAGTCGTGCTCAAAAGATCCGCTGTAAATGAAAATATAAAAATGAAAACCCTCAAAAACCTTCAAAGTGTCCTCTCAGGATCTGAGACCCAACCAGACCCAAACAATGTGAGCATTTTCTTAACCGACTTTGTGTAAATGAAACTGAAAATGAATTCCACCACTGCTATTAAAAGGTCTAAACCTGGTGTTCATAAGTAACCTCACATAAAATCACAGCACTTTTATGTGATGGATTTTCACTGTCACAGCACATAAGTGATGCTCTCTGAATGTTTTTGTTCTTCATAACTAACAATTATCTACGCTGACAGAATACCATCCCCAACACAGCCTGAAAATACAGTATGTTCACCTTCTTTTTATAGGCTGTCAGTAGGCCTATCTCCTCTGCCATGAATGCGTGAATATGACAGCACTAATCAACACTCTTAGATATCAAGTAATAAGAGCTGTGAGGCTGCTGTGAAACCGTAACCACCCCCTCTGCCACTCAAGCTGCATATATAGCCACAGTTCTTCAGGAACAGAGAGTTTTGAGCAAAAAGAAGCTCAGGCTGCTGTGCTAGCTCCTGACACAGGACTAGTTTCCAGGAAACAGTGCAGGGATCACATGTGGCTTTGGGGTAGTGTTCTCAGCATGCTTTCATCTCCTGTCTGTTCTGACAGGGTTCTAACTGAGTCATTTAAGAATATATTTGTCCCTAAATCCGATACTGACATCCCCGGGACACAAAGTGGCAGAGAAACAACCACTGTACCCAACAGACATGCCACTTATACATAACTGAAACAAACATGCTGATTTATCTAAAAAGTATAGCACGAGCACACAGAGAGATGGAATGCAATAGTGGGCCACTGGAAGACATTGCTAACAGGGTTCCTACAGTATTTAGCTCCCTGCAGCGATGAAGTCATTTAGAAGTGCAGGTCTTTCACTAAACCAGCAAGGGTTATTAGCGATAGCTGTTTTTGTGCAAACATCCTAATTCTAATGTATGCTTGTTTTTTCTTTCTTCTTCTTCTTCTCCATCCACTGATGTTCCATCAAGCATTTCCAAACAGCAGGGAAACAGATTTAGTGTGAGGGTGAAGTCAGTGGAGGACTTATGTGTGTGGTCTGAGCATCATTTATGATGCGTTTTCAACTTGAAACTTTGTTCCTTGTTCATTTTGAACACATTAAAACATATATAAACACCAAACACTCTCAAGGAGACATGTTCGTCACAGATTATTATTAAAAGCAGATTCAAGGTTCCTGCTTCAGATCCTTTCTTTCTCTCTGCACATGACTCACCTAACTAAAATGCTGAGTCTGCTTATTATCCAGCATTAATAACCCAAGTCAGGCACAGCTCCCCCCCCAGCTGAGCTTTGGTTTCCCTCTGAGGAAACACCATTCTGGAGTTCATCATAGCCTACAGCTGATAGGAGAGAGCCAGAAGAGACCAGCTCAGCAGTCCTCACCCAGTTCCAGCCTGATGATGAGAAGCAGGCTCCGGCAAGGATATAGGACGGCATCACACTCACACACACATACGACAGCGTGAGAAGCATCCTGCCTTCATTAGTCCTAGAAAACCACACCATCTATGGGAGTTGGGCACCGAGTAAGGGAATGCATGGCAACCTCTGAGAAAAGTACAGATGGGTGAAAAACTGACAGACATTTTGACAGAGAAAGGTCAAGTCCACTTTGTGGTTCGCCAGCTTATGAGGCTATGTGAGCAGCTGTCACCTTTTCTGTTGCATGGTCCACATCAACTTAGAAGATGAGGTTCACAAGCTTTTGGGTCCCCGACTTCAAAGTCCGCAAGTGAATAACCATTTTGTCAGTGTGGTGTGCTGTGAGGTTTAATTCCCACTTATAAATAGCAGTACATTATTGGAAACAGTGTGCATACTCATTTCTTTTCCACATGTTTGGGACAGACATTTGGTGAAGTTAGAATGGGGCAGGACTGTGGTGTGTGGAGTATGAGTGGCTTTAAGGGAGCGGTAAAAGTGGCACCAGAACCTGAAGCCTTATTTATACGTTCAATAAAGAAGAGTGTAAACAGAGGTCTTAATAAAGCAGAGTTCTGGTCATGATCAGGTCCCTTTACACTCCAGTGTACACAAGGAGAGCTTGTGCCATTTATATTGCCTCAATAAAGTCAATCCTAGGTGGGAGGATTGTATGTCTGTGTGTGGGAATGTGAGTGTGTGTATCCTAAAATGAAATGTGATACAGACTTATGACTGAAAAAAGCAATAAATTCGGCTTTCCATAGCAGTGTTGTATGATCAGATCTATTACAGTATGCACATCCATTGTTCTATTCACCCTGGCACTATATATGTAGCTTGACAGTGGCGCATACTAATGCAGCATCATAATATGGCACAATCGTCACAGAGTCACATGGGTTTGTCCTGTATTTATGGTGGCAAGAGGAATCCTTAGCATCTAGATTCTAATTCTAGCCTGTTCTAGTTATGTGTCTAAACTCGGGGAACACCCTATACGAAACACTGTACAGTCTAGGATAATGGCGTTTAAAATAGACACTGTACATATCGCTGTAAACAAGAATCTCAAATATCCCAGCTATTCCAGCTATGTGACCAGTCACATAGCTGCTGCATGTAACATATATAGATGGTGTAATCCTGAACTTATGGGTCAAGAATGTAATCCTGAACTTATGTTAAGCAAAAATTACTAACACGGGTCAAGAGGTACTTAAGTTAAAATTGGGATAAGTTTGGTTGAAAAATTAAAAAACTGAAATACAATAAAAGAAAGACAATAAAAGACATTGCTTCTCAGCTGAATTTTGGCCACTTGTAGCCTCAGCATCTAACTGTATTTAGACCTCAAATCTGTGCTCATTGGGACAGTTTACAGTTGTTGGTGGTATTTCACAGTGAATCATTTCCTGTTTTTATCAGAGCTCTCAAATTAATGCACTGTCTGCAGCCTATGAGCTGCTGGTCCCACAGACCTTCAACAGTTCTTTGACCCCCTATATTACTGCCCTTTCACAACTCCAGCCCTTCTCTGTTCCCCTCATTCTGTTCCACCAAGACACATCAACAATAGCTGGGCTTTATGAAATCTCAGAGCCTGCCTTCTTGCACCCAACCACAATTCATTCTTTGACAGCCAGCCATGAAATAATGTATTCATAACAGTCTTTTGCTTTTCTGCCACAAATGGCTTGCTGTTCTTTTTGTCTGCACACTTGACAAGGCCATGCCCCCCAGATGTGCACAGGTCCTCACCGAGATGAGATACAGGCAACACATAAGTGCACACATCAATAAAGGGCACTCCTAATCACAGCCACCCTGGCCTGATGGCTGGCACAGAACAAAGCACACAAGGACACACTCCAAAGTCACTCTGACAGCAGTTCTCTTCGATCTTGAAAATACCTCAGACTGAAAATGAAAAACAACGCCCTGAAGGAGACTCTTTGACAATCAAAACCCCTCGAAAGGTGCAAACAAGAGTGGAGGAGACCCACTTGAGATGATTCCAGCGTCGCCTGGACACTGTTTAGTTACTATTCAAACCTCTACTAGAAGAAGGGCTTAAAATAAGAGCACGTGGAATTAATTAAACCAGAGCGTTTAAATGGGATAGTTTCAAACAGAGCTGAGACAACAAAGACTAAAAATGTAAAATAAAAAAAAATGTAGGTCTTTCCTCGCTTCCACATGAAAGTGTGTTCTTCATAAGCAAATCTAATAAAATTACCACATTGTCTGCATCAAGACTATGCATCCAGAGCCAGTTTTCTCCAGACGTAGTGGATATCTTTAATCAGAGCAGTGACAGGACTGAAGACATGATCCAGCAATGTTGGTGATGCCAGCCCATGGGAGAAATCTAGGGGAATGTTTATGGCCATTGTTCATTTAATAATGGGTGACTGACAGGCATATCACGAACTCAATTTATCCCCAATCAGAGTTGGCAAATTATGCTAATTCAAACAGAATGGTGGGTGGGAATAGAATGATGAATGATACTTTGGGACAAAGATCCATCAAGCAGACAATCTTTCATAAATGTCCTAGGAGACAAAAGCAACAAACTCCACTGACTTTTCCTTATCTCCTTTTCTTCTTCACCCTCCTCTTTAGGCTTGTGACTAATCGTTGTCATCATTATTTACTATTTTCCTTTTTATTTAGGAATCCTTTATGTTATAAATTGTCAAAAAAATCTCTAGTTCCAAAATCTTAAGGTGATGTTTCTTCCTTTTATCAGCCAACCATCCAAAGGAAACATGCCAAACATTTCCTTATCGCCTCAAACAGGAGGATTTGCCACATTTCTTCGTTCTTTCTCACTGTATGATTGGTACAAAATAAGCTACTGGGAACTTGTGATGAGCATTTATCACTATGTCTGGCATTTCATAGACTGAAAAATAGATTTTAAAATAGCTCAATCAACAGTGAAAATGACTGGTAAGTGCAGTCCTAAATGTATCAAACAGAGAAAAGCGGCAATTTCTCACATTTGAGAAGCAGGCTTTAACGTTAATCCACTAACCTTGCTCCCTGTAATTTGTTACTGGAGCCATTGTGCAGGGTTTATAGACATCCCAGAGCAAAAGTGAAAGGTCCCGGGTAATTTTGGCTTGACTCCACAGTAAACATCTGACCCATTTGGGGGGGGGATTATGTCAACACCCTGAAGGTTACACTCAGAAACAGAGACATCTGTAGGTGACATCATTGTAATAGGAATCAGCACAAACTGGAAAGAGAGTGTACTTAAATTTAATCTAATAAGGCAGCAATGTGTCAAAAGTCACAGCAGTGAGAGTTGTTAATGGTTGGATTTATTGGCAGATGATTTTTAGATCATATTTATAGGGTCATAATCAAGCTGTTTAACACTGGGCTCCCTCTACTGGTAAACGGCTCGTTTTGTGTGTGCTTCCTCTGTGTCAGTCTCTCTACTACCCCCATGTTGTATACCAAACTCATTTATTGCCACACTAGCCTGATGTCCGCACATAATTACTCTATGGGAAATAGATGGTCCTGCAGCTAAATTTCCCCTTGGCTCAGCAAGAAGTTAATGTTCAAGAAACCAGTATCATTACACCCCTGGCGGGTGACACCATAGCGTCCCTCTTCTGCAAGGTCTGTGCTCACTGCCTTGGCACAGAGTCTGAGCACCTTAGCACAGAGGTCGGACTCGGAGAGCTTCTGGAGTAAAGCTGTGTGAAAGCCCATTAATATGGTCCCTATGACATTTACAGTGCCCTGGAACTCCTGTCATGGGAAGCACATGTCTGGCATACATTCAAAGCACAAAAAACAAAACCTTAATATGTAGCAGAAAGATAGAAATAAGAAAAGCAGGGGCAGCTGCGATACCATCCCAGATCTCCATGTTATCATATAGTATGTAGTGACTGTATCAATAAACACAGATATCAGTGTCTGATGAAACTGATTTTACTGTTTCAGCTCTGTGTGTTAACATCATTCATGAAGCAAAAATTCAAAACATTAGATTCTTCTGGCTGTGAAAACATACAGATCCTGGGAGATGTAATAAAACAATAAATAATTTGTGCTGTTAATTTACTACGTTGTGCCTTTGACTTAATAGTCTGCACTCTAAATGTAGTGATTTGTTCTTGAACTGGTGATTTCTGCACATGAATAAGTTTTCTCGCCCACTAGAACGCCTCCCAGACTTACCATTGCTGGTTTTATTTTGTATCACTGTAAATTGAATACCTGTGGTTTTTGGACAGCTGGTCAGACAAAACAAGCAATTTTAGGTCTTTAGCTTGAGCTCTCAATATAGAAATCAAGGACTGACACTGCTGAAAACATTTTGACAATCTTAGTCAATGTTCTACTTAAAACTTTTGTCTGTGTGCAGCTGTTTGATGTTCTGCTTGTTCTTAATTTAAAAATACATCACAGGCCTGCCTGGGGATCAGACAGACAGACGCAGGCAAGGCAACAGGCAGCATCAGAAATTAGTTTGGTATGAAATGACCTGGCCTGTTAACATGTCTGCCTATTAGGAAACATATTCCTCCTCGCTGCAGAACAAGCAGGGAAAATCTGAGCGGATGCTGTTCGCCAGACTGGAAGATAGATTATCTGGTGCCGAGACATAAATCTCTGCATTTCAAATCTCAGTGAAATACAATGACTTCACATGCATATGGAATCTCAAACTAGAAAAGTTTACAGCGTGGTGTATGTTGATCTGGAATTGCAATTGGTTGTTATTCTCTTGAAATATTTAATGCTCAGTGCCACCTACTGTAACAAGAATTGGCCAGATCCGGACTTTTGAGTTGTCAGTGTTTTCTTGTGAAACACTTATGGGGTGAGACTTGAACTAACCCAGACAGATTTGACAAGAGCTATAGCTGAGCCAAGTGGGCCCTCTGACAAGGGAAGACGCTCGGGGAGAGGTGCGCTACCCTCACCTCTGACCTGTCTGGGTGTGAAAGTCTGAGGAGAAAGTTCAGAGGCAGCATCAGGTTTCAGGTTGCATGTTACACTTGTGTTAGGGGAGTCAAATGAGTCCAAAGCAGCTTCGAGGAAATTAATGCAACACATGTAAGGTCAGGCCACATGAGCACAAACCAGATATTTTCTCCCCCCTATATAAATATCCCCACTGCATCACAGCAAATGGTTGATCAATCTGGCTTAATGCACAGCCAACTCTTCTTACCAGCCTCCGGTGTCTAAATTCTCCTGAGCAACTCATCTGGAAGATCTGAATCTATTCATACTGAAAAGATACTAAATGGCTCTGACTTGAGATGGGTCACATCATGGGGATAATGGCACTCTGGGGAGGACAGCGTTGGCTAAAGGAATATTTTACAACAGTCCAAAAATATATTCTCAGGTCAACTTTCATTTGTCTGACCGTGCAGCACGCAATCTGCACAGAGAGCTCAAGACGGAGACAGTCATGGTGGCTGAAACAGTACAGCTGGTTAGTAAATACTGGCTGACACTAAGCATGTCAACCATCGGAGGGAATTATTCACAAACGATCTCCAGCCAGGAAAGGAACATGCACAAGACAGACGGGGGGAGGAAAACTGACATGAAAGCTCAAGGAGCGATACCATGAAATATTTATGCAAACATGACGTTGCATGGAGATGAAGTGCTCTTTCTTTTCTTAGCAGCCTTGGATTCCTGACAGCACAGGCTGCAAAGTACAGGCTTACAAAAGAGAACACTAATGATTTCCACTAGGCTTTAACATGAAGCCATCGATTCTTTTCATTAATCAAACAGTCATCTTGTCTATAAATTGTCCAAAATATGGGAAAGATTCTGATCAACAGTCCAAAATGTAGTCAGTTTAAAATAATTACAAATGGAGGAATCAGCTGTTTCTCACTTTTTAAAGGTTGAAGTCACAGAATTTTCTTCTTGATTGATTAAACAACCTAAATGATTAATGAGTTGTCAAAAGTGATGCTGATTAAAGGATAAGGCCGGTCATTTGCTATACTAACAGTATTTTCAACTCTCCCCATACGGAGACTGAAACCGACAATGATTCACCCCTACTCCAGGTTAATGTCTGTCAGTGTGTTTCCCTGATGTGTTTTTAATCATTTTGATACAGCAATGGAGATTTATCGCACAGACAAGCAAGACAATCCAGGACTGACATCTGACAAACATTAACCTTCAGCAGAGGCAATTCCCTGTTGGTTTTAGTCTCTGTATGGAGATTGTTATTATGAAAAATACTATTAATACAGAATTGACCGGCATTATCACATCAGCTGATGCTTTCATCACCTGCATGGAGACAGGCAGCACCCAACATTTTACACCATTTAATTTATCTTTCTTTTAGACACTTGTTCGCACTGCTCCTTCCCTTTATCACAACCAGCAAAAACGCCCCGAAGCCCCCCCCCCAGGCAGGCAAACATCCTGCCAATATCATCAGCTCAAGCTTTCCCAGCCCTGTGCACAGACACACACACACAGTGATAATGATTTTGGCACGTTTGAGAACCCATGAGAAAAGCGCGTCAAATACGTCAAAGCAATCTTCTGATGACGAAGAACTGTTGATGAATAAATGAGTAACTTTTTCACTCTCGCTTTGCCGTTGCTGGTAATTAATTCCCAGGATTCCACTAAGCATCATGGCTGCCAGAAGTTTTCTGCAGGCACCAACACTCCAGTGCAGCTCCTCCACTCACCGCTGTCTCAGATACAGTGTGTAATCTCACCTAAGGTATGGACGGTGATCACTGAGATGTCATGAGTCACAGCCCAAGGGGTTGCCATCACAGTATGAGACAAACCCACCTAAACACTCTGACATCACATTTGAACATTTCCCAAGAGCTCATAAGCAGATTGTTTTGATTTGTTGCTGGGATGCCATAAACATAATAAACATTAGAATACACAGGTTTCAATGAAAACTGCTTGACTAGTTGATCCAACAGTGAGACATATATTTAGTATTTTATGGTTGTTAAAACTCAAGTGTGTTTGAAGCGCCCTGGAAAACTGAAGGACTGTACACTTAAAGTGTCTGTGAAATCTCTCAAGTGCCACTGATTACCGAGGAGACTTTCAGCATCATCAATTATACAGCGTCTCCTCTTCTCTGAGGTGCACACTGGATAGATTGCACTCAAATTTTATGTGCTGCTATGTACATACAGATCTATTGGATAGATTTAAAGAAAGCCATGAATTTAGAAAGCTTGTTTACATTGGGGATGATTTATTCTGCCCAGACGTGTTACAGGGCTGTAAATCTGGTGTACTAACAAAGGCTTCCATAAAACATGATGTTCCCAAAACAGCCAAAGGGGAGACATGAATGAAGAACAGGCAGAATAAAATAGAAAAGATACCCAAATGGAAAAACGCACAATGACAGATGCAGACGGGTTAGGGTTAGTTTCAACAAACAAAAAACCGGTCTCCATACTTCAGGTGAAATTTGACATTCATCCAGGGATAAAACAATTAGGGAAATTTACTACTTTTGTGCATGGATCATTGATTCAACAGGAACACACTTAGCACCCTCACCTCTTCTTCTTACCTTCTGCAGATGTGAAGCGCACGCTGTCGCACACCGATAGGGAGACGGATAAAACCCCAAGTGCTGTCAAAATAAACTTCAGACTCGGGCTCCTGGGGTTCATGATGCCCGGCTGAAATGTGAAAGGGACTGGACGACTGTTTTACTGCAGCGCAACCATCATGCAATCACAGTCCACCAACAGCTTTTGTGCAAGACCCCCCCCACCCCCCCTCCAAAACAAACCGACTTCCTGAAATATGATCAAGTTTAACACCGGCGTTCTCAGTAGTCCCGAGGGCATCTGCTTTAACTCCGAGCACTTTCCCCATTCATTCACAGGTGCTCGAGTCAAACGTCACCTCCCGCAAAAAGTGAAGAAAGAGCTATGAAAACAGTGACAAACACAGCAGCGCTGCTGTCTGAGACAGCCACTGGAATGACACCAGTTCCAGGGCAATTACTGGAAGAACTGTTGTCTTACAAGTGGGGACCATGTGCTTCAACGAGACGCTCCGCAAGGTCCTAAAGCCACCGAGCATCATCAAGATACTAGGAATATATTATACGCAGGTTCCGGTTTATGCTTTCAAAAAAAAAAGACAATTGAAATCACTTTTACTTTTTTACTTTTTTCCTCTTATGACCCATCTATCTATCTATCTATGGATAGATAGATACTGGATGTTGTTTAATAATAGTAAAAAACAAATTATTTATTGCCACGGGTCAAATGTGAGGCTTTAGTTTTCTTCACTGACTCAAATTCAGTATTTCAACACAATATGTTTGTAGCTATGTTTGTTAGACAAAGCAAGCAACAAATAAACAAGTGATGTCCCGATCCTATCCTATTCTTGAAAGGTCTAGAAAGGTGCAGGACACAGACAAGGCTCCATCGTATCTTAAAGACCTCGTAGAGCCTTATCATCCTAACAGAGCACTTCGCTCTCAGAGTGCAGGTTTACTTGTGGTTCCTAGAGTCCACAGAAGTAGAATGGGAGGCAGAGCCTTTAGCTATCAAGCTCCTCTCCTATGGAACCAACTCCCAGTCTCAGTTCAGGAGGCGGACACCCTCTCTACCTTTAAGATTAGCCTTAAGACGTTCCTTTTTGATAAACATTATAGTTAGGCAAGGCTCTGAGTCACCCGAGTCAGCCATGCTGCTTTAGACTAGGTGACTGGGAGTCCTCCCATGATGCTCAGAGTTCCTCTCCTCCCCTCCACTCTCTCTCCACGCAGCTATATGCCACCATTACTCATCACTAACTTTGTCTCCTCTCTCCTGTAGTGTGTCCTCTCTCTCTCCTTGTACCTTTCTGCAGGTTGCCCTGGCCCGGGAGCTCTACGTCTCTGATGAGCAGTCACCAGCCACATCAACCTGCCCAGTGTTTGATTGATTGTTTTGTCTTGTTGTTTTTCTTCTTTTCTCCCTCCCCTATCCACTCCCCCCAACCGGTCGAGGCAGAAGGCCGCCCACCAAGAGCATCTGACAGAGGTTTCTTCACCAAGTGCTGTTCAAGGGGGATTTGTTAGGTTATTCTTTATAATATTAATAATAAGGTCCAGGCCTTACTATGTGAAGCGCCCTAAGATGGTTTGTTGTGATTTGATGCTATACAAATAAAAGGGAATTTTAATTAATTGAACCTATCACTTTATTTTGAAGGCAAACCACATAATATCCGGCCTCCTTTGATCAACTTGACTCATCACCCTTAATGGGAGCTCACATATTGTTGCAGCCCACACTGATTTTTAATTTGAATAATGCAGCCTACACACCTAACCCTGGCTCACACATGCCATTATGGGCACGTTATTCAGTCAGAGTAAGCTGAAAGCAGCACTTTAGCTCAGCGGCTCTTCAGTGTATGTACACTCTGCACTGCACCGCATCCACTTCAGAGGGCAATGCAGGCAGCAAATAGGCAGATGTCCATATGTAGGCTGAGTTCTGAGATCTCTCTCTACCTCAGCAGGAGCTAATTAAAGTATAGTATTTCAGGTACAGTATGTTCCCAACATGAAGGCTGGTGAGGTCACAGCAGCACCATCTGAAACAGGAACTATAGGGTGCAAACTAGTATTGTCATGATCAGTAACCTCCATTTCCCAAAACTCTTCATTCAGGTTGAAATATGAATGAAATTTAAAGAATACTGAGCAGTACTGCACGCTGATTTACCTGGAACTCAACATTCAGATGGAGGATCTTACAAAGAGCTAATCTTTGGCTCTTTTTAATAAGCAGGGGATGTTTGGAGGAAGATGACAAGGTGCAGAGAGGAGAACAGATTAAAACAGGATTTCTGTAGTGCACTAGGACACATAGTACTCAATAATAAATCTCAGCTTTATTGAAATTACAGTTTCATCTCACCTCTGTTACCAGGTCCATGCTGTTTGGAAGAAACCTTGCTGAAACATTTCAGCAGTGCCTGGACACACATTTAAAACAATGTCTAAATGCAACTCATATATAAAACATCCAGTTAAATTCACATATAACATACATAGTTTATGTAAAAGAATTCAGTTATGTTTTATATCACACTTCTTTGTCATTAGTCCAGTCATGGATGGATTATGAGACAATGGGCCCCTGGGCACTGACATGTCAAAGGCTCTCACCCCTCCTGCAACTGAGCACCAGACTAAAAGTCCTGCATTTAAAATGTTACTTGACTCTCTAACGAGAAATGTTCAGTCACTTCAAACAGAGGATCGGCTTAGGGGCCCCCTAAATCCTTGGGCCCCCAGGGCCTGTGCCCAATGGGCCCATCCAGTAGTCTGTCCACAAATCCAGTGGATAGACATGGCTGATTAAACTGGGAAATAAATTAAAAAAAAAAATCAGACTTGAAAAAGCCTTCATCAAGCAGCATCCATGATAATTGTCATTTTATTTTAGAGCAATTCTAAACCATGAGCACCGTTATTAATACACACCCACTGTCCAAATACACCCACACATGCATTCAAGCCAAAATGAAATAAGGTTTACAAAAAGAGGCAGGAGTCTTCTCTAAGACCTCAGTCCAAATTAAGGTGGATGAAAACAGCTGGACACTGAAAGAACTAATTAAAGGCTTATGAGTAAAATATGAATTAAGACTAATGACAAAAGCACTTCTCTGTTGTCCTTTAATAATAAATATTCACACATCTTTCTGATATAAACCCAGCTCAGGCATGTTGTTGAGCAGCAGTCTAAGCACTTTTACTTTGGATCAAAACACACAAACCTACATCTGCATTGGCAGGCCCGGGTACATTCTGAGACAAAGCACTGTCCATCAACAGGGCATTACCAGTGAGAATGCACATTTCTACCAATCTTTCAAAACCCCAAAGACCTGCTAACACTTCAGCTGTTTTGAAGGTGTTTCCAAACCTGGATTTAAATAATTGTATCCACTGCACAACAACACTTTTTTTGACTCAACCTAACCTCTTACAATTACGTTTCTTTATCCAGCTAAAGATGGATATACTGTATGTCCTTGTCCTATTTGTACAGCACATGAACACAATTTAAAAGTTTTACCATCAGATATTTTCTGGTTAAATGAACAAGGAGATGTGTTATTTTAATTAAATAAAGATGACTTTCTGGGTTTTTGAAAGACTGCCATGTACTCATCTTTCACAAGAACAGATGTTAACTCAAATATAAAGACAATACATGAGAGAAACTGAGGCTCAAGCACTAGAGATCATGACCTACACTGAGTGTAACTTATTTCCAGCACTCTCAGTTGGTTATCTCCTTGTAGCCTGTTGCGTCAACATCATCTGTTGTCAGTCATTCAGTTGTTGCTCCTTTGAAGAATCTGATCCAGCAGTTTCTATCAGTAAGAAAAAATATTTAGATTAGTAAAATGCTTAGGACAGAACGGTGGCTCTAGATCACCTGTCTAGTCTGCACAAATGCCCTGTAGCTGTTGCAATCCAGGAAAATACATACAAATACAACACATACTCTTCAAGCCTCAGATGTGAATCACAGTCCTGTACAGATGTGGGAACGAAGCGTGGTCCCTGCAGTCCTCACACACACACACACTGTTCAGGTTTCCAGCTCCTCATTCAGGATTTGCTGGATCCACTGGCATGACCCCTTTTCCCTGTGTTATCTGCCACAGCAGCAATGGTTGGGGGGGGGGGGCTGTGTGTGGGCACCCACTCTGTTTGCAGCTCAGCTGAATGGTGGCACTGCACTGTAGTGCTCTCTGCCACTGAAGGGGCTTTGTTTCACGAGAAACACAGGTCTCATACAAACACAATGCGATATCTCGCTAAGGAACGACAGGGTGTGGGGTGCGTAGTGAACCAGAGCAACAGCAGTTCAGGAGGCAAGTCAAACTGTATTATTTAGAGGGCTATAATTATTGATCATACAATTAAAAGCCAAAAACAATGCTCCATGCTTCTAAAATGTATTTTTAAGATCAACTTTTCTCAGCAAACTCCAGGGAGAAGAGCGAGAAAATATCAAACCTTTGGCAGCAGTGACCTCTAGTGGAACAATAATCTCATTGTTCTGAATGCAAAGACAAGTCCAAACAGTCCTTGTTGATTTCATTATGGGAATAAGTGGAACATTTTTTTTAAATATACACACCATTGCAGTTTTTTTTTTAAATGTTCCTTTCCAGAGGTCCATACCTTTAGTGCAGCAGCATAAAACCACCCTTTATGTTACCAAAAGTAACAAGTGCACATAGCAAAATATTCCTGCAATTATACACTTATTTAAAACCTTAATCAACCACAGTAAGTGAGACAATGAACATTAGGCTCTATTGTACATTTACTGTAATTTGCTATTAAGACCACAAGGTCAACCTGTTCATTTTAGCAGAAGAATATCCAGAAATACACAACACATCCATCCACCTCCTTGGTTTTGTGACTTCGGGTAAATGTCCTCCATGTTGAACCTCATGTGTCCCACTCCATGTCAGTTTTTTCATTTCAAGCTGTTATTTTCAACAACTGTACTGCTGTGAAATGAGAACAAGCTGCATTATTTCTGCAGCCCTTTAGTGTTGGCCAGCAAAGATGTTTCATCCTTGCGAGATTTAATCAAGCTTGTAGGAGAAAGGTGTGTTGTTACTTGCGTGACTGCCAGAGGGGTCATATACACATTTAATGCTCTTTGTAGTGACTTTGGCAACTTGTTAACACTGTGGCAAACTGTTGTGAGATTCTTTGCTTTATTGAATATTTAGGGGGATTTGGTTATTGCATATTTATTCCAACATCAGGAAAATCACTATAGGCAGATCTGGTGATTAAATATTTTGATATTTCTACTGGTGCATCTGTCTGCACCACTGTAAAAAAAAAAAGTTCTATAGTATCTTGTTTTATTTAGGATATTAACCCTCTAATGTGCTAGATAGTTTTCACTCCTTCATAGCTTTAGGCTTTAAAATCAGCTCTTTATGGAAATGGTTTGATGTTACACAGTAAAATATTAAAACCCGACACCAGGCTTTTTATGGCTGCACCACTCCATCAAACAGAAATAATCTAGATGTCTTTTGTATCATTCGCTACATAAATCTGCTTGGGAAACTTTGAGATCCCACAAAAATGAAAAATAAAATTATGTCTGACTTCAGGTTAGCGAGGTTTAATGGGTTGATTTATCTCTGCTGAAAAAAGAAACAGTAAATGTACTACCTTTTTAAAAAGCTCAACTCTGTATCTGTTGCTCAACCAGACCTCCCTCTTCTTCTCTTCATCCTTGTTCATCTTCACCTCTGCACACAGGCTACAGCAAAATGATCTTTTTGGTAGAGAAACAAAACGATAGTTTAGGGATGCTTTATGACCAGTACCACAGAGTATATATCTATTATTCAAAACAATATTTACCAGCCAAGAATTATATCACCTAAAGTACAAACAAGTAGTTTCTATTAATGGAATCCATTCAATTTCCATGCACCTTTATCCTCTGGAAGCAACACTACTAAATCCACAGACACCTCAGTCTAACATTTCTTCCTAATCAATAGATAGATCTGCCAGGGAGGAAAATAAACAAGTGAGGCAAGCAAGAAAAAACAGAGCAATGGTTGGAAGAGGCAAAAAAACAGCATGTTTTATATGAAGATGTCATTGATATAAACTCTACCCTCATGCAGAAGTGACACAAAAGATAAAAAGGAAAGATAAGGAACACATCTGCCAGCATGCCAAGGTAGAGACTGAAATAGAACTCACCGCTTGGATGGTAGCTGCATGTCTTTCACAGTAATGGCTCTGTCTCTGGGTTTTAAAAGGTTATCTGGAAACAAGCATGTACACACATTCACACACACACACACACACACGCGCGCACAAAGCTGATAGAGTTGCAGGCTCGAAAACATGGCAGTAAATCACTCTAGCTTTTTCTGCTGTCTGAAAAGACTGAAAGCCTCCTCTTGTAAAAATGAGGACAGCACCACACTTTAAAAGACTATTTCCATCTTCTCTAATGGATTCTCAGGACATTTGTTGATGTATAATTTTGTATCACCATCCTGAGTAAAATGTGAGTTGCCATAAAGACTTGTACGAGTAAAAAAGTGCTCTCATATTGATAAAGGCATCAATTTTTTAAAACTCTGACTCGCCTCACAGCAAGAAGGTTCAGGGTTCAAGCCCCAGCCAACCCGGGGCCTTTCTGTGAAGAGTCTGTATGTTCTCCCTGTGCCTGCGTGGGTTCTCTCTGGGTACTCCGGCTTCCTCCCACAGTCCAAAGACATGCAGCTTAGCTTAACTAGCAACTAAATTGCTCATAGGAGTGAATGTGAGTGTGTGTGGATGTTTAACTCCATGTTGGCCCTATGATAGACTTGCGGCCTCTCCAGGGTGTACCCTCTCTCTCCCCCTAGTGTCAGCTGGGATTGGCTACAGGCCCTCGTGACCCTCTTTAGGATAAGCTTTACAGATAATGATGGATGAAACAGAATGTCTGTCACCTTCCCATATGGATACTGACCTACTGGTGCACCTCTCTGCTTTGGCCAGTAGAGGGCAGAGAAAGCTACAAAATCTTTGTCAAATCTAAGTTCTCTGCTGCTGTATGTATGCACTCTGAATGGAAATCTCTCCAGACAGATCACTGCATAGGGATGACATTTGAAGGTCAGAGATAATTCCAATGAAATCCAATGTTAGCAATCATTTTTAAACCAATAGAGAGTTTATATATTGTATAATTCAAGTGTCTTTTATTTAGTCATAGATTAGCCTATTATGCCAGTTCTCTCTCTCTCTTGGTCTTTCTCTTCTTTTATGTGTCCCTTCCATTTTCTTTTATTTACTGCTTTCTTTACACTTGCCCTAAAATACACTATCTTGTTAACACATTTCGGATACTGGCCTATTTCATAATCCCTACTGAATATAATACATGATTTTTTGTATCATTTACTGTGGACATTTTCTGTATACATTAGTTATTGTGAAATTTCTGTAAACAAATTCTCATACAGTATTAGTAGTATAGAATCTTAATGCAGTGTTTGCCTGACATTAAGTAGTGGATCAGTATCTTGGATTTGAGTAGAGAATTTTAATTTATCACCCCTTCAAGGGAAACATAAAAGGAAATATATTACATAATGTATTTGAAATTCAACACATATAGGTTGTGTGGCAAAAAGCCACTGTAGCTGCACAGAGACAGCGGATGAGAGTGAAGGGTTGCTGCTGGTACTGCACCTTTCAGAGATGTAGACCGGGCGCTGTGGGCTCTCTTCTGCCTGACAGCAGCGTTTGACTGTGGGTATAAGGAATTCGCCATTTCCCTTCTCTCCTGTGCTTTTCGTTCCAGCTCTCGCACTCTGGCCTGGGAACGACTGATGAAGTCTGGTCTGGACCTCTGCAGTGCTTCCTGCCAAAACCAAGAACACATTGCTCTTCTTGACAAACATTTAAGCCCCCTCCACCCCCCATTTTCAACTGCCTCTGCCCCAGAATTTATCCCTAGTGCAGCCGGAAAACTCCAGTGGTTTTCAGCTTGGATGTCAAAATCCCCAAAACATTCTTCAACTTTTTGTTTAATTGTTTTGTTAGCTCAGAAACAACCTCTGAACTCACCTGGAGAGATAGAGTTTTAGGTGACCTTTCAGGGTGGAGACTCAGTGGAACAAATGCAGCAGGAGGCAGACTGTGGCACTGGACTGGGCTTTGATCGAGATATGGCTTTAAACATTTCCCCCCATCTGTCACTACAAAGGCAGAGAAAACCAGACTGTTTGCTTTTCTTATACACCTGGCTAGGCCTCACATGCCAATGCACAGTTGCCCTCCAGGCCTGCCATGACATACTTCTTGATATTCCCTGTATACTGATTCAATCAAAGGTGCAGCTCCCAAAACAATGTGTTGAGCTTTCAACATTTTTGACTAATTGTAAAAAAGATCAATGTTTTATAAGGTGAGAAATTATAACTACATGCGAGTGGAAAATAGAAGTAATACTACCAGTATTTCTCTGGGGTGATGCAGTGGAGGCCTTCTCAGAATCACCACTCGGCGTTTTCTTCTTACTAAGTTGCCTTTGGAGTTTGATGTTTGCAATGATTGCAGCTGCATTGAAAGCCAGCACTTCCTCTGGAGACTGGTGTGAGTCGGGATCTGGAACACAAGAGGACACTGGCTGTTATTGAGCTGTGTCGTGCAGCACAGATTATAACACGGTTTCATAACGTCCTGCTTTCTTTGGAGGTTGACTTTATTAAACACTGAATTTAAATTATGTTGCCTCAGGCCTCATTAATTAATTGATGGCACTCTTAATAAACATGATTAAAAAGAATAGTTTCACAAAGAAAGAAGACATCATGAATGAAGAAACCCCATCCTCAAACATCTATTGTAATTCACCTGAATTTGGCGTTCTAAAACAACAGCTGTTAGAGTTTACTGGCTAGGTAGGACCCAAGGTGCAGACACATGAGCCAAGGAGATGCTTAAAATGACTTTTTAATGAAAGACTGCAACAGAGGACAAGGGCAAAAAACACAAGAGGCTCAACTGGACACAATTAACAGAGAACGTCGACAGAAGCTTACAAACAGGTCAATCAGGGAGCTAAGAACTCAAAACCACAAAAAACTCATACAAACCTGAAAGCACAAACTGAGCATCCACAATAGATGCAAACAGGCAGGGTGTGGTGAGCGGAGAGTAGCAAACAGACAAGAGGGGCAAAAAGGTGCACAGACAAATGAACCAGCAAGAGACTGAGAGAAAGAAGGAGTATAAATACAAAAGAGACCAGAGGAAAAGTAAAGCTGGGGCAGGTGAGGTGACAGACAACAGGAAACTAACCAAAATAAAAGCCTCAAACAGGAAGCAAGTCCACAAATCATAACAGTATTACCTGACTGCTATTTTAGTTATTTTAACTAATAAAACATTTTGCCACTTTACAGCAGGTTGAGTGAGAACTTGAGACTTTAGACATAAAGCAAAAAGATTCAAGTCTTTTTTTTAATTTTTTATCCTGGAGCAATTAAATATAACAGTCAGGCCTTGCATGGCCTCACATCTAATATATCTCATTATTTAACAAACTAACTCACTCATTTCTGTAAAAAGCAAAACACAGTTAACACAAGCAAAATGTTCAAATGTTGTATCATTTTACTTGTCAGCATTAAGAAACCTGAAAAACTTGCATCTTGATGTGCAGTTTACTTGAACTTTAGAACCTTTGCGTATCTAATGCATTCAAAATTTTCAGGGAGGTGAGCTCAACTGCACAAGATGTCTTAATGAATAAAGGCAATAAACAAGCATAAAAACCTTTAAAGATGCAGGAGCACATTTGATGATTATTCCACAAGTTGTTGTTTAGGACAAAAGTGCTCCTGCCTCTTCACAAGTTATAATGCTTGACCGCTGCCTACAAACTTGAGTTAAAATATGGACTTTCCTCAAAATACTTTAAAACAGTTCTGCATTTAGCCTTAAAAAATGAGGTTTGACATTTAGGAAAAATGTTTATTCACATTTTTGCCAAGAGTTGGTTGAGACCACTTTTATCCTGGTAACTAATATATGGAATTAGAAGATGGTAATCTCAGATTAGCATACAGACTCTATCCAAAGGTAGTTAAACAAAGCTAAGCTAAGGTATCCAACCCTAAACTAAACAGCTCCACTGGAGGATCTTGATGCCAAAATTGTTTCTAACACATCTTAACACTTTATTTCCATCATGTTTAGCGGCTTCTGATTTCTCTGACTCCCCTGTGCCAGTGAGAAAAGAGGACTGGAATAGATTTTGCCTGCAAAGAGACGCATGGGAAAATGAACAAAGGTGAGAATGAGAAGCCTCTCTAGGTGCCAATGAGGCCTGTGCATCTAGGTGACTTTAGATATCCAGCGGGAGTGTCAATTATAATGCCTATATAAAAACGCTTATCACTAAGATATCAAAGGTGTAAGACAATATCAAATCTGAGAGTTCAGCCCCAGAATCTGTGTGCAATAACTTCAAGTTAGAACACACAAATGTCACAAAGGAAATCTATATTTAGATGTTGCTGTCCTTTGACAGTGAGGATCAGAGACAGAAGGAGTGCTGTGTGCTGACAATAAGGCTGTCAGAGTGGGACAGGGAAACCTACCTGGGGCCTGGATGAGAGTTAGACAGTGGGACACTCTCCTTGTTGCATTCTCTGGTGGCGACAATCTTTCTGCCTCACCTCTGTTTGTCTTAAGGGCATCTGCCATGAGCTGACCTGTTTCTTTCACCACTGTTCCAGGACTGATAAAACTACTGCTGGAGTTCACCAGGTTGGTCTCTTGTGGAAGGCCAAAGCTCCACATCCTGGCAGCTACTTCTGTCACATTCTCCTTGCTTGGCTCAGTATGTCCACTGCCATAGCAGCTCGGTGGTCTGGGAGGCCTGTCCGACCTTTGTCCAACATCCTTTGAGGGGGTGGGTGCAGGTGTAGCAGGGGGGGTGCCCACAGAAAGACTCACTGTGGATCTGTGCAGTGTTCCACGGTTTTTCTCAGGATCTGAAGTGGCTGTATTTGGATGTGGCCTCTCTGTGGAGTCTAGATGGTGATGTGAAGGTGCTGCAGTGTGCTGTGAATGGTTTTCTAGACTCCACGGGCTGTCCTTGTACACATCCTCTGTGTAGCTATGGCTGCACTCTGGGTGCCTTGTCCCAGACGTTACCTTGGCTGAACTGTAGCTCTCCCTGTGCTGTGTCACTTTGATAATGGTAGCCTTTCTTCTGTGGACTGCAGTATCCAAAGTATGGCTACAGGGCGGGGTCCCCTCCCTTTGTGTGCTCAGGACAGGGCTAGACATCACCTTTTGATCTGACACATTCACTCTGGCATCCGTCCTCTGCACTGTGACCTGCTTGGAGTTTGGCTGTATGGACTGGTGGGGTTGTGGTAGAGAAGGGTGGCTGGGTGTGTCAGAGCCAGGTAGGCTGGCCGATCTGCTGACTTTCCTGGAGGAGATGGTGATGTAGGAGAAGCCTGCTTTGGTCTGAGGAGTGAGTGTAGTCACAGTGGAACGTGTGTGTATGTGTGGGGGCTGTGAGCTGTAGTTTGTTCTACACAGTGGGGCTGTTGCCTTTATAGGCCAAACATTGCTTGTCTTATGCATAGGAGTATTTGACTTGTATGCCTCTGTACTGTTTGTCCCTTGCAGCAGAGTATGTGGCATGCAGGGTTCAGCTGAAGTTGTCTGATGCAGAGGCGTATGCTTGAGGTGCTCTAAGCTGGTTGTTTTCATTATAGGAGACTTCCTGTTGGGGTCTGAGTCGGTCCCTATAGGGAGCTCAATTGACTGACTGCCTCCAAGGAAAGATGACACCCTGTTGATATTCCAGCTTCCCCTCAGCGCTTGCCAGCTTACAGGTCTGTCCTTTTCATCAGTAGGAAGCCTTTGTTTTTCTGGCATCTACAGTATTCAGATAAAAGAAATTCTATGAGGTAAAGGTCCCTAATTATACATGAAGACCCCATCGCACACTTTAGTTACTGTTAATGTCTGACGCTAAATATTTTGTCATTAATCAACAAAATAAAACATGTACATTCATCTTGTCAACTTGAACTGGTGTTTTCAGAAAATGGAGCATAACGTAATTTAATATGGAATGAGAAACTGACAATATGACACCTCTCTAATACCATGTTTCAACAGCAGGTCAGTTGTCTTGTCTTTCCTCAGGCCTTTGCTGTTTGTTCTTTAGTCAGATGACTCTTCCTCATGCATGACACAGTGAATGCCCCAGTAGCAATGGAGGCAGCAGCAGCAGGCAGTCAAAGCCAGCACACAGCGTGACTTATCCCTCACAGAATAACAATGAGACTATCCTCAATAGAAACTCAGGCAAAAAAAGCAACAATTCTGGTCCTTGGGCTTCAGGATTTTGATGGTGTTTTGGAAAACATTAATATGTCCTTTTTTAGAATCATCATCTGGTTTATAATAATGTATTTATCAGTGTTGCATAAAACATACCAGAAATCATATCTAAGCAATGTTTGAGATATAGCCACTTGTATTTTGTTTGAGAATGTGTTTAAATTTCAACACAGCTTGCATCGTGCCTTTGCACAACGCCTTGTGGCCAGACAGGAAAACACACAGACACTGACATCTGCAGACGCCTCTGTCATCAACCTGTTGTGTTAAAGAAGTATATTTCTCATCTTTGATGCCTTGGACTGTTTTATTATAAAGCAGTATCCTTTTCTTCAGATTTCATAGACAGCTTTCTTAAATTTGGTATATGAACATTTAATACTGATAAATATGTAGCTATATTCGATTTATATTATAATCATTCTACCAAGCCAAAATTAAATTGGTAATGGTTAGAAATGGAAGACATTGGCATAAACATCACAAAGTATAATATAAGCACAACACTAGGATGAGAAACCCTTCACCTCAGTACTCACGCAGACATATCCCCAATTCTTGCAGACCCATGGATATCCATCTGCTATAGTGCTTCTCGTGAACTCAAAGTACAAAACAGTAAAATGTTACCTGTTTGATAATAGAAGAGCCTTGGTCAGGTGTCTGCCACGTTGGGCCGCTGTGACTTCTGTCCACCTCTCCATCTACTGTATGTGTTTAGGCAAAACAAATGATCCACTGTCACATTCATCATAAGACATGTTCTCTCTCTACCCTCCTTTTTCCTTTTACAGACACACACACACACACACACACACACACACACACACACACACACACACACACACATAAAGAAATCATCTGACTGTATGACAATGTTGACACTGTCAATAATTGATGTTTGGCACCATACCACGCTGGAGCCACTTCTCCGCTTACTCAGAAGACGTAACACTTTGCCTGGTTTGCCTCTCAGCCCTGACTAACACGCTGTTGCCACACCGGCTGCCTGTCTGGCTGCATTTCCACCTGCTGCTGTTACCATGGCAATGGGCTCACACTTTGGGATAACCCTTGAATGCTATGCAGAAAATCCATGGTGTTTTTCATTTTAAGAGAGGAAAAAAGAGATGAAGTGAAAACTGCACCACTCTGCAAATGTGATTACAGAAAAGATGTGTCTTCAGAAATGTGATAAAAGATTCTGCACTTGCTGTGTGCCTCATCTCTTTTCCTATAAAAGGTCCCACACCAACTTTTGGCCCCCTCAAAAGATCTTTTCTCATTACCTCCACTAGCTAAACTCAAATAAACATTTTTCTGAATAAAGAACTGACCTTCATATCTGAGGAACTAAAAAATAAAAAGCAGGGCCATATGGCAAACTTCCTACTCTTTCAATTTACTCCTCATCCTCACGAGCTTTATCAAAATAGTAAGTGTGGGCAAAATGAAAACATGATGGTCCTCGGAGCACAAGATCCAATTTTCTTATCATATACTTATTATCAACAGACCTTTTTAAGTTTGTTAAACATGACATTCTCAGAGGCAGAGGGCACTGTGTCTGCAACAAGACCCCGAGTTTAATTAAAACTGATTTTAAAAGGATTGGCAGCAAAAACCAAAAAGGGAGAGACAACGAATGAAAACAGCGAGAGATAATTTGCTAGCTGGAGTGTAACTGAGTCATTTCTTGCTGAAATAATTGTGGATGAAAATTGTGATAGTTTCATTTGGTTTCTACATAGAGACTTAGGTTTCTTTCAATCATCTTTCTTCAAATCCCAACATAGATTTCAGCCATGGTCAATCTGTGTGTATGCACCTGCATAGAACTATTACTCACTATCAAGTAACGGAAAATATAAAGATCTATTAGCCATTTGATTGCTCAGCAAGGGAATTATAACTGATCTAAGAGCATCATTGCATCAACCACAAGTTGTTATCCTTTTACATGTGAAGATTAATTTAAAAAAGATATTACTTCCTATTGCTACAGCCTGGGTATGTAGCTTGCTAACAGTGTATAAGATGCTGAAACACCTCCACTTTCTATCACAGTTCCTTGCTGCCATGGATGGATTGCTTTGATTACTGTGAGCAGCCAGGGCCTTGTCAGGATAATCTATGTACAAACAAGGAAAAAGTTGAAAGATCAAACCTCATATCAAACCTAGAGAGAGAGGGGCTGCCGTACTTAGAGATTAACAGGGCTCCTTCTCCTGTCACTCTGCATCTCTCCTTATCTTTTAGCCACTTGCTTTTCTTTCCTCAACCATCTCTTCTCATCAGCTTTTCAGACCTAATAGCATCTATTTCCTTCACCTGCAATGCTGTCAGAATACTGTGGTCGGGACGAGGTGTACCCGAAATTGACTTTGTTTAGAGGGATCATGCAGTCAGTCAGTCAGTCAGTGTGCATTTGAAAGAGGACAGGGGGCAACACTGCTGCAAGGAGCTGATTAGAGGCAGGTAAACTGTGGCAAGTCAGCCCTGAAATAAGCCCCTGCACTTACCTCATGGCCACATTTGTCTACCACTGACCAGGTACTAAACATCAACTGAAACATAATCTTTTTTATCTTATACAATTTATCTTGTGCAAAAGAGTTACTTCATGTTATTAAATTTGGTTTTGTGTATTGCTTTAAGATACTACGTTTACATAATAATCCCACTTACATAATTATGAACCTGTTCGAAGTTCTTTTTAAACTAGTTATCTGAAAACCCAGCTGTTATACAAGTTACTGTAAAATAATATACCAAATTATACAGTGTGTCAGTAGTACATACCCTCTGTCTTGGGTGTTGCTCGATTCAGCTGAAATGTTGGAGTGATGGGTTGTTTCAGTTTCACCTGAAAAAAAGTTTGATGTCACAAACAGTCCCTTTGCATCAATATTACTGGCTTAAAAAGTTAAAAAGTTAAAACTCCCCCAACTAACGTCACATATTTTTTCTAGTAAAGAGGTACAAGGGAAATAGTGTTCTTTGTACATCAGTTCAATCAAAGCTCTGATACAGCAAAGAAACGTATTGATTTTAAAGTCAAATCAGTTCACAAGGTAATACTCTTTTTGAATTTCCTTTGTACAATCACTTGAATCCTCTCAGTGCAGAAAGCGCAATCTCTGCCCCCACAGCTCTGAATGAGCTGTAAACCTTTTGACAATGCATAGACTTCCTGCAGTGTAAGCTGTTTTCAAAGCATGCCAGAGCTCTGACTTCTCCCTAAGTATCTGAGACTTCAACACAAATGGCTCTCTGTGGCACTATGTGTGTTTTAGTCTGCCTTGTCTGGCACTACACGCCATCAGTTCCATTACACAGCACTTCACCTTCAGATGTGCAGTGCTTAAGACCCTGAGAATCACACAGCCTCAGAGGATGTCAGTGCCAAATTCAAATTAAATCAGTTCAGTCCTTGCAAATGTCTTTTTTAAGGGTGATACCCTAAAGAACAGACACCAAAGTTGTTCTGAGGTTTTGCTGACAGACAAGTTTTTAATGCTCCAAAATCAATCTCCCATAAAGGTGAGGAGGCTTGAAAGTGCCTGCATGAACTGGGTTGCTTACTTTCAGAAAGATAACTGCTGTTTGTATTCTGCAAATCTTTCAAAACTAAATATACTGTATGAAGACTTCCAGAAACTTTTGTAATATCAGAGAATGCATTATTAGAAAACTTTCTGAAAATATGATTAGGATTTGTTGAGGGTTATGTGTTTTACCTGACCAGCAGAGGGGTCCAAAAACTGATTTTGGTTGCAAGCACCAGCCACCATCATCACTCTTCTTTGGACTGGCAGCCACCCACTTTTGACTGGAAAAAGATGACTGATTTCAGGCTGCTCCTTCCTTGGGGCCTGCAGAATATGAACTCTCTCCCAGCTCCCTCTGCACTCTGGAGGAGGAAAAATCTGCATGTGGAAGGACTCCTGGCTGCCCAGTGAGGTCTCACACAGGCTGGGACTCCCACAAGAAGACAAATCCCTGCTGAAGGAGGGAATCCATAGCTGTGTCCAGGGATGTCCTGTTGGCTCTGTGGCAAGACCTGGCATGGATACCGTCCGATCATTAAAAACTGGAACCTGATTATGAAGCGGGACTCTGAGTAAGTCTCTCGGCAGGTGCTCTACCCAGCCATCCAAATGACCTCCTTCTGGGGCGCTTTGAGGCCGAGGTGTACGTGGGGGTTGAGAAACACGGGTCAAAATATTTCCCTCTGATATTAAGCTCTCCCCATAGGACTCATCTCCTGATCTCCTCCTGGCTGTAGCTCTTCGTAGGTGGGCAGCTGGTCTGCGGAGAGTCATCCCTCTGGAGCTCAGGTGGCCACTCACAGCTATCACGTTTCAACCCACAATAAGAGTCCTTTACAGTGGAGGTATTATTGAGAATCCCATAGATCAACTGCACATCCTGCCAAGAGGCACACCAGACATGCACTGCAAGGAATTAGCAGCTACAGAAATGCTGGAGTTTGTTGTTGTTACAGATCTGTTATGAGAAGGTATCGGTACAGTTAGTACACACTACAATTCCCAGCTGCTGCTGTAACATACCAGTTACTTACAAACTAACCCTTTTCACTTGCTCCCAACTCTCCTCGGTCCTTAGTGTTTAGGGAGTAAACACTCTGTCTTCATATAAACTAGGTACTAGTTGGTACTGTCTCCAGTCAGGCATGTAGCAATGTGATGGATGCTTTGGCAAACAAAAGAGTTACTGAGCAGAAGGGCTGAACATCCAGTATAGAACGAGACATGGAAAGTGACAGAGGGGAGGGCGAGCTTGAAGAAAGAAACTAACACTTGCTGATGTAGTTCTTGATCTTACAAGGGCTCCATTTAAACAAAGAGCATCATTAATATTCATCATCTGAATTATTAATCCTTCTAATTTTGAATATATGCAAGTCAGGCACAACAGATCAAACTTCCTGACATTCAGGCGTCCTAACAAATCATCACTAATGAGCAGATTATCTGTGCTATTCCACCACTCACTTACAGCTTCAGAAATCCTCTTTGTTGAATGCCCCCTTTCTTTTCTCCTTTTCTGTGATCTCGTGGTTGATAGCTGCTGATGAGGGATTGATATCCTCAAGCCTCTATCCAGGCCATGTGATTTGAGCAAAAATGGGCCAGTGTCCTTTTGGATAAATAACTCACAGTGATGATGGTGTCCCGCAATCCAGGATCTAAGGCTGTTTTAAAGCCAAGAATCTGCTTTAAAGCTGAGGCAAGATTTTACTTTAGATTTTATTTAGAGGTAGTTAAACACACATTTGCAAAGATGCAATTTTTTCTTTAAAAAACTGGCAATTGCTTTGATGTTTAATGAATTTCAGTGTTTCTCAGTGGATTAACAGCTCCCAGACGCATTTCAAAGCAACTTCAGTCCGATAATAGATAGAGATAAGACAGAGGAATCTAAAACATCAGTGGCTGTGACTTGCTTTAAGACAACTTTAAGACAATGCGTCAGTCTGAGCTACATCCTTTTGTATGCTCTATGTGGGAGATAACATCCAAACAGCGCAGCTGTGTAAGTAGAGATTTCAAGATTAAAAGAGGTAGCTTCTTAAGTTTCAAAGCGATAGTACCATCTGCTGGAAGTACTTTAATATGACAAGCTGGAGGAAGTGAGCTCAAAGGAGAGCACGGGGTCAGAAATCTGAGAGACTTCTCTAAAAGATGGGGTGCAACCACAAGATGCACCCTTTAATAACACTATGCAGGTGCAAACGAGATGAATAAAGATGAGCGAGTTCAAATGTGTGCACCAGGTGCGTCCCTGTCCATCCCTGATGGCTTTTATTTAGCGCCTGCAGCTCTGAGAAACAGCTCTTATTAGTTCATCACATCCCTGCTCAGAGGAACAGACTCACTTAGGCCCCAATAGCTACATCATCAAGCAGGAAGGAAATGGACATGAATTCTAATTCTGTGCATGAGCCAATCAGAGGAACAATCTCTGTGTATACTAGTGCTTTATAAACCATGTTGTAATACCATAAAATGAAAAGGAAACACAAGCATTTACAGGGATATCATAATAAGATATTTAATGATATACAGGACTATTTTTTGTCACACCAAGTGAAGCAGAAAATTCAAATTTTGCCACTGTCCAGTGCAATGCAAAGTGCAATTCGCTAGTAGTAATATAGCTTATTCTTGGTTTAAAAATCATCATATATATTAAAGTCATACTCTGTTGAATCTGGTTTCTTTGTTTTGGACACCAGTGATTTGTTTGTTTTGTATGCTGTTGATATTTTTGCAAGTAGTTTGTATGACAGTAAAAAACCAAAACAAGCCACTAGTTTTGAGATTAAAATTTTAATTAAAGTTCACAACAGACCCAAAATGTTGATCAGCTTACTATAAAAGTGATATATTAGGGAAACATATGAGAGCGCAGGCCTAAATTATTCCCTTAAAATAATTGTGTGCATGTTATGCAGCTTCCTAGTTATGCATCCATCACAGTTTAGGTAACCCATTGTTTGAGTTATTAGTCGTTAACGTCATTATTAGAATATTATGCTGCTACAGATGAACATAGAGCCAACTAAGCGGAGCAGGACACTACTGTATAAACGCCTACAGGCTGAAGATGTCGTGTTCCCTTCCTCCCCCTTGCGGACCGTTCTGTCAGTGGTTGAAAATGGCGGCTCGGAGTGGCTCCCCAAAGCTCAGAGAAAACTGAAAAAAAAAGTCCACGCTAATAACAAAAGGTCACATCTGGACCTTTTCCAACAGGCAAAACGACAACCCGGAGAAGCCTCGACACCGAGAATGTCTCGTTGGGTGCCAACTAAAAAGGAAAAGTATGGTGTTGGTAAGTAAGAAAACTTGTACGCTCCATCGCTAGCTCGTCCTAGCGTTCTGCTCTCAAGATTGCACAAGTTGGGAAGGATTCTGATTAGAAGGCGACCGGTTGTATTGTTGTTTCATGTGTCTGAATACGGGAGCCGCTGGGTCACATTTGCCTAAAGCGTGGGAATGCAAAGCTCATGTGTCGGGTGTTTGTCAGTTTGCATGAAATGGAAAACAAGGGATATCAGTCTTTTGTGCGGAAGAGTGTGTGTGTGTGTGGATTGGGAATTGTTAGAGGCGCGCCTAGTGTGTAGCGCTGTTTCCTGTGTTGTGGGGCCTCCGCTACAAACTAACCAGCTACTAACAGGCTACTGGTGACTTGGAGCTGCTGCTGGTTTGTTATTACTCCCAGTTCCACATAGAGAAAAAGCCTTTGTTGTTGGTTTCTTGTCACTTCCTCAGATGTTTTAGCTCCCCCTCTCTCCTTCAGGCGGGGGTCAGTTTAATAAGATAACACTCCCAAACCTGTCGGTGGCCTCTGTGGCTACTAGCATTACTGCTGTCACACCGGAGGGTCCCGCTGGATAAACACCCCGAAGCATCGTCATACTTTGTGTGCCACTGAAGAACTGACATAAATAGTAACACAGTTCATTTTGGGAAAGTTTTCATCACTTACAGTCAGTGAGATTTGTATTTACGTTTAGGCACTTTGTTTCAGCTTCTATTAAACAATTTGATTTCAGACTAATTGGGGAAATGGCATTAAATCACAGCTTTTTATTTAATTACACTTTAGCCCAGGGAACAGAGTCAGTGAATACTTTTGGCAGTAGATGTAATTTTTCAATACATTTCTTGAACTGTTTACATTTCAGATTAAAAACACTTGTAATATAATCTTTGTAATATAAAGTGTTCTCTCACAATATAATTTGACTAATTGATGGAGCGTAAGTAGAGAAACTAGAAGCAACCCCATAAACCACCCCGATGAAGGAAACGTAGCCAGAAATGTTTGAAGTGTGGCACATTGGAAAAGAGTTGTAGAGCTGCTTTAATTTTGATGGATTTCTACCAGGCAGTGTGAGATATGAGAGTAATGTTGTCACATATTTGTTGTGCTATACTTGCGTTCCTAGAGGCTAATAATAGTCTAATCATTATTTTTTTGGGGGGATCCCCTGGAACATCCGGGTCTGGTTGAATCAGCAGTGCTTGCTCATTACACGTGCTTTCCAGAAGAATCAATTTTCATTACAGTGGATTGTTATTTTTGATTGGTATAATGTACACCACCATGTGTATATGTAATCCCTTTTAGCTGTAACCATTAGTGGGACTGAGGGCTTGCAGCTGTATGTGGGATGCCGATGCTGACTGGTGGATAAGTTTGGCAGCTAAAGCTTCAATTGGCGTCTCAGACTGCAGCTTTCATATGGACTTATGAGCTACATGAGCCTGCGGTCCGCTTGTCTCCCGAGCAGATACCCATTGGCTACAGTGTATATTAGTGTGTGCTGCATGTGAACAGGATTCTGGTGCCAATGATTTCCTTGATGTATTTGCAAAGATCCATGAGATCTTATAAATCTCGATTCTTCAAACATCTTGGCCAACATTCTTATGGGCTCATTGAATGCAAGAGCGGATGAGTCATTAGTAGGAGAGGCCTCACTGCTGCTCAGCCGCTGCACTCTTAGTTTTAATACTTCATGTGTTGACCAAGCAGCACTAATGAGCGCTCTCTGAGTCCTCTTATTTTGGCTGTGCACACTGTGGATCTATTTCTGTTTCAGCAAAACTTTTGTCAGACCATTTAATACTCTCATAATAGTTGCATGGCTTTATTAGTGTATGAAGGGAAGTGGTTTCTTTTAGCCTGTTCACAGAAGTGCTAATAATAAATGTCACTGTCTTCTTACATAGAGAATAGCAGTGATTAAAAAAAAGTTTTGCTGTCATAGCAGTCAGTTCAAATTACGGTATTTGGATGTGGAAGCAAGGCTTTGTACAGTAGTGGCTCAAACACAGGAACCAATATTGGAATCGAAGGAGATTTGTGTCGCAGTGAAAATTGAAAACACAAATCTGTGAAAAATGTATGAGACCGGTTGTGTCTCCTTTGCCTTGTTGTGGTTCTCTGTGTTCCAACCAAAGGCCGTAGCAGCTGATTAGACTCGGTAAGAGCAGATGAGTTTTTCAGTGAGCCGGCCAGGCTGGTCATAGTTCGAGCTGGGTAATACATTAGTAATCTGTCAAAGCTGTATTTTTCAGATGAATTAATTGATTTAATCTATAGAATGTCAGAAAATAATGAGAGGTTTTGCACTGATAAAAAAAGAATGTTCACATTGGAAAAGCTGGAACAAGTAAACAGTTATTTAACTTACGGTAAGTTTCCTCTGCTGACCTACCTGAAAAACATCTTTCAGGATTAGTCATGAGTTAACTAAAGGGTGTTCTCCTGGTCTTAGAAGCTGCATTATACTGTAGAAGGTTGGCACAATATTTAAGTTCTTCTTCGTGGGTAAATGAATAGCAAATCTATCAGCCTGTTTGCTTATTGTATCCATCATAGAACTGATGTTCTTTTCTGTCTGTGTATCTCTCAGGTCTTTTTAAAGTCATCATATCCATGCAGTAGTGTTACTTCTGTATCAATATGCATCAAAAATGTCACGATATGTGATCTTATCAATACTGGCCTGCCCTAGCTGTAGTGAAGAATGACAACATGCAGACGCTCTGCATGTCATGACAAATAGCTTCCCTGTTACAGCAGTAATGGAATGTAAGTGCGTTTACCTAGATACTGTCCTTTAGAACAAGTCCTTGTACTTTATGTGAGTGTTTATGCTGCTTTATACCTCACTACGTTTCAGGGGAAACTACACTTTTGTTTTACAGCCGTGCTTGCTGTACTGCTTACTTTGCTTATAAGGAATTTTCTCACAAAACGTGATCAATATATAAAATTCACTGTTGTAGAGGATGATATCCTACTTGCACAACAGTGTGTTGCTCACAGGGGCCATTGTTCTACATAA